AAGGCCATAAGATCCAGAGAAACGCCTCGATTTAGAGGAGCATGCGCTAGTCTTTCCAGAACAACCCAAAATACAAGTAAAGGTACAGAAGCTCAGGATGGAGATAGCATGATGAAACTTGAAGGCCTCAGCACTATTACAGAGGAATCCTCCTCACCATCACCGGTCAAAGACAAAGGAAAAGGTCTGGGTCGTGCAGTCAGTCTGAATGAAGCGGTCATGTACAGACCGGTGCCAGAAGAATGTAGGTCTCTGAGGGCTCCAGTTCCAAGGATTGTCCAGTTGAGAGCTGAGGCCGAAGGTGAAGAACGCACAGATTCACAGTTGTCAGAAAATGCAGAGAATGTGCAAAATAATGTCATCCATCTGGCACGGAAGTACAGTCAGCGCATCAAGTGCACCCATCTGGTGGTCCAGCAGAGGGGCCGGGATGCAGAGATGATGATTGTCAAGAAGAATTTGACTTCTGTGATGGAGGAAAAGACTGAGAAAGACACTAAAGGTACAGCTGTCAAAAACAATCAACACATTACATTTTCATTGAAACTGTCTGTATACCTATTTTGTGCTGATGCATTCTGCCTGAAAGGTGTCTTATCTTTTGGGCTTTAAAATCTAGAACTTTGATTAGAACTAGGTTCTGAGGTCGGGATAAGACTTAAATAGAGCAGTGACAAAGACATTATTCCACTTATGCAGTTTGGGTGGTACCTTTAAATTACCAGACATCTTCAAATTCAGGCCATAAATCTAGTTTGTAGTTCTGGATTTTGTCTTCACTGGTTCCTCACTGAATTGTTGTTGTTTTTGTTGTTGTTGTTGTTGTTGTAATCGTATTTTTATGGTTATCACGATATGAGTTTTTGTGATAAACACATGGTTAGGTCGGCAATGACCGAACAGATCAAATAACCTCATACACACAGTGCCAGAGAGACATTGTTACATCACAACACAAACCGTTACTGCTTCTCTACACTGGGACTGAACCGGCTTTCTCCAACTTCACCATTCGGCCAAACAGTAACTACAAATCACTGAGATTTTAAAATGTCCACATAACTCAGCTTTAGTGGAAATTCAACTACAAAACACACACTGAGACCTCAAAATGTCGCTATAAATTCAGCTCAAAACGGCTGCAGTAAAGGGGAAACACGCAGCACACAGGCTGCTCAGTCTCTACTGTTTTTCTGCTAGCCAGCTGGGCTACTGAAGCTTGCTACCTTGCGCCCCCCAGAGTCCTTCAAAATAAGAGTTCTGGACCAACTAAGAACACAGTGATTAACTACACTCAACCAATAGCAAAAACAACATTATTTTTAAACTAAATACAACCCGGCGTGTCCGATGCCACAATATTTAATAACTAAACAAACAAATAAAATGACACAAGAATATGTATTTGTTCTTGTGTACCTATACAAAAAATATATATATATACACCGATCAGGCATAACATTCTGACCACCTCCTTGTTTCTACGCTCATTGTCCATTTTATCAGCTCCACTTACTCTATAGGTGCACTTTGTAGTTCTACAGTTACAGACTGTAGTCCATCTGTTTCTCTGCATACTTTGTTAGCCCCCTTTTACCCTGTTCTTCAGTGGTCAGGACCCCCATGGACCCTCAGACAGAGCAGGTTCTATTTGGGTGGTGGGTCATTCTCAGCACTGCAGTAACACTGATGTGGTGGTGGTGTGTTAGTCTGTGTTGTGCTGGTCTGAGTGGATCAGACACAGCAGTGCTGCTGGAGTTTTTAAACACCTCAGTGTCACTGCTGGACCAACCAAAAATATCCAGCCAACAGCGTCCTGTGGGCAGCGTCCTGTGACCACTGATGAAGGACTAGAGGATGACCAACACAAACTGTGCAGCAACAGATGAGCTATCGTCTCTGACTTTACATCTACAAGGTGGACTGACAAGGTAGGAGTGTCTAATAGAGTGGACAGTGAGTGGACACAGTATTTAAAAACTCAGATCCACTCAGACCAGCAGAACATACACTAACACACCACCACCACATCAGTGTTACTGCAGTGCTGAGAATGATCCATCACCCAAATTAACACATCCCAAAAATGTCTGCACTTGAGTTATATCGAGCCAGACAGACATTATTTTAATAGTAATTTATTGCTTTTCATATCTTCACAGTAATATCAGACAGATTTATGGAACATCTCTTTTCATGACAATATCGTGCAGCCCTAGTTGTAACTGATTATCCACCCATTGTCATTACCATTACCAGTGATTACAAAACCCAGGACCAGAAGCTGGATTCAGTGTCTGGATTTGAAGACCTCTGGTTTAGACTCTTTTACCTTTAAAGTGTTTGTTCTTCAGCTCAATTTTAAACATCTAACAAAAAGCTCACCCCTATCTGTATCGTTAGTATAAAAAAACTTATTTATGGCTTCCATATGGTAACCTCCTGTGAATAAAATCACAGTTAAAACACAACCTGCTGCAGTGATCCCAGAAGGGACAGTACAGCAGCTGAGGAAAGAAAGCCTTTGTTCGTGCACAGATGTCAGTTTGTAGAGGGTTTCTCTTTTGGAGAAAGATAGTGAACAATGTCATGGACACCATTTTAAGTATCAAAGTTGTTTTTATGTCTAAAATTCTGGTGTAATTTTAATGCTCCTTTGTGTTAAATATTCACTTATGCAGCATTGTTTGATTTACAGGAAAACCAAACCTGACACTGTCTCTAACTGGACATGACGAGATGATTCCTTTTGACCAGAAGGCCGACTCCACAAGCTCCAACACCAGCAGCAGTGCAAGAGTTTTATCTCCGAAACGTTCGCACTCCAAGAGCCCTTTGAGCCCGTCGTCGGCCGAGGGCTTTGACTGGCCGGACGTGAGTGAGCTGCGCTCAAAATACACCCACAACACCCACAGCGCATCTCTGCAGCTGCCCCCTGCTGGCCGGAGCCGCTCGGTGCCTGAGAGGATGACCGACTGCGGCCCGAGGAGACGCTCCAGCTGCAGCTCAAGCCTGGTTCTCTCCAGTGCTAACACCGAGGCTCCAGCCTACAGAACCCGCTCCAGAAGAGACTGGGAGGACCATCAGGTTCGGATGCACCGAGCTGGCTCTCTGGACCACAAACTCAGCGGACTGCATCTGAGCGATCTACAGGACCTTCAAAATGAGATGGTCAGTAGTGGCTACTACATCTCCGCTCAGGCCACATTACCCAATGAAAAGAAGGTGATTGTTGTAGAGAAGATTTCTGAGACAGCAACTCAAGCTGAAGGGGAGGAACCTTTGAAAGAACCTTCAACTGTAATGGAAATGGACAGTGTGGAAGACCACTATGTGCAGATCCGTTCACCAACGTCTCGGGAGAAGATCTCAATAATGGCTGTTATTGATCGCTGTCGTGCTTATCAGGAATCGGAAGAATACCGACAGAGGGAAGAGTCTGTGTCCCGGTCAGAACAAGCGTCCAAGACAGACAGAAGTAAAGAACCTGATAAAATGTCATCCTCCAGAGAACGGTTAGATGAAGCTCTCAAAAACAGTGTGGATTCTGGGAAAAAGGCTGATGACAGTCAACAGGGTGTTGTAAAGAACCTCAGAGAAAAATTCTTAAACTTGAGATAAAAGGTTATCTTTTCATTCTGGTAGCTTTATTCTTTATATTTGTTTTAGAAGTGTATCACTCTGTTTTAAGGTACACTATTCTTCTGTACAGAAAAGCATAACCAGACTATAGAGGTTAACGGGTTCCTGAAATATACATATATTTTTATGTTGTTTATTTCTGTCAAGCTTATATGTGTGAATGTAGCCTCTGTCAGTAAAACTGCTGTTTGTGATGAATTGCCAGAAATGCCATCATAATTCTCTAAATTAATCTTTCTCAAAGAACATGGATGTGATTCACATTCTCCATTTTAATGCTCCTGTTTTGCCACAGATGAGTAGATTTTTCCATCAAGTGCATCATTCCTTGTTAATTTCTCTTTAAAAATAGTTTTCTCTTGAATATAAGGACAGACCACTTATGTGATAGCACCACTTATACGGAGGACCACTCGCTCGCTTTGGCACCTTCAGTTGCAACACTGAGCTCTAAATCAGTTAACTGTTAATCTTAATCATGATTTATTACAGAAAGTTACAGCTCTTATTGTTCCACTGATTATTTCCTGTGTATAAAAGAACCTCTGTTCTGTAACTGTTTTTATAGGCATTCCAGCAAATGATTATCTGGTAATATATCAATGAAGTTTTGCTTTGACTGTGTCTGTATATATTTTCTCTGTATATGTTTATTTTTCTTTAATCTCTCCAGCACTGAATGTCTTTAATCAGCTGTTTGCACAAATGTAACATGTAAACATCTCTATATTTTCATGTTTCGTAACACTGTATGTTGTGAGTCTTTCTCTCTACACTGTGTTATTTATTAAGATCCTGTAAATGATGATTCCTGTCTGAATTTATGTAAATATATATAAATATATATATATATATATGTGTGTGTGTGTGTGTGTGTTGTGCTTGTTTATCTCATCTGAGTCAGTAGGAAAGTGTTTTAAAAGATGGCAATCTACACTAATAATAATAATTAACTTTACAGTGGAATAATGTTTTTTTGTAGAAGTGTGAGAACCTTTTTTCAGGTTTACAGACCTGAGTAAAGTTTTAGTAAGAACCCTTAAGCTGCTATAGAACCTTCACATTCTGCAATTCTCTTTTTTTAAACATGGTTCTTTAGGAAACCAAAAGTAGTTGATTTATAGGGTTGCTCACATTTCTTTTTTTAAGAGTGATTTTCTATATTTATATCTCAAGCACAGTTTTACAGCTCCCAGATCACCTTTTACTCTAGAGAGTTATTTGTGAGGTTCTTTGTGTTCCCTGTTGATCCACCAATGAGAAGCGTCACTCAGAAATGGGTTGTTGTCACTGTGTTATGGAGAATATGTAAAATTTATGCAAATGTATTATTTTGTTGCAGTGAGTCTCAGTGAAGCTCAGTGCCAGTTATAAAGAGCTCAGGTGTGAAGCAGGTAAAAGATAATTGGCCCAACTAAAAAGATGAATTAATCACGTTTCGATTAGTTTTCTATATTTCACTAACCAAGGCCTACTTTTCTACATAAGTTTTATGAAATTATTTTTTTTTATTAATATGTAGAAAGTCATTTTTGTAAAACAGTTGAAGTTTGATACTGTATTGAAATCGCTGAAAGTTCTCAGACGCGTTCTCGCTACTTTAACTCGTATCTAGGCTGGTAATATGGGCTGCACGCTTTCCTCCCAGTCGGAGCCTCACAGCGAACATGTGGAAGATCTGACCATCGTACATCTGAGCGAGGAGCAGAAGGAGCTGATCAGGGAGTCGTGGAGAGCCGTTCAGAGAGACGCCACTAAAGCCGGTGCGATCATGTTTGTGAGGTGAGCTGCTTCTCATAAAGTATATGATATAATAAAGATATGATGAAGTGTGTGGCGGTTACTGATTGTCTAAAATATCTACTGACTCCGTTGATTGTAGGATTTTGACAGTGATCTGAGAGCTGTGTTACATACGAGATTAATTCATTAATGTTCTTGTCTGATGTTTCTCATTTATTTGGTCTAAATGTTTTTCAAATCGATTAACTGTCGATTTACTGTTCATTAAATTCAGTCTTTTGGTCACAGTGCGGTTCTGATTTTTAACAAAATAAAATCTGAATTTCTGAATCACACATCGTCACTGTTATATCAAAATCACTCATCTCCAGTTTTTTCTGCTTTATCTGAACAGCAGCTGATGATGATTGAACACACAGAAACAAGACAAAATTACTTATGTATAAATTGTAACATTAATTTATATCAAAGTTAAGAATGTGAAGTTATCAGTTTTGGAGATGTGACGTTTTGTTAGCACAGTGATGATGATTGTGATGAGTTTAGTTATTGGACATTAATGGGTTCATTTTGAATATTAAAGTATTGTTCTGGAGCTGCTTGTGGAGAAATGTAGCAGATTTTGTAATGTAGCAGTCCTTTTTATGTGTTTATTTATTTTTCTTTGTTCTCAGTCATTTTCCTCCCAGCGGTAAAAAGCTGGTGGTGTTGATTTTGAGGAGAAAAGTGTCCACAGCTGCTCAAAGAGCTTAAGATCAGAGTCTGGGTGAGCTGCAGAGTTCCTCACTCTGCACAACCTTCTGTATGCACATTAATGTTGTCTGTGTTTGGATCACATCCTCACCCTGTGGAACAAACATAAGCTGGTTCCCCGTGTGAGGAGCCACTCTTCACCACCATGCAAGTGTTTGTGAAGAAGGTCTTTGAAGCAGACGTTGAGCATCAGCAGATTCATCATGTAAATCGTTCCTGAGTGAGAAGACTGAAGATCTCACTGCAGCTGCTCGTCTCTTTCGCCTTGTTGGACTCCAGAAAGCGAAGTTTATTTAAATACAAACATCGTAACACACACACACACACACACACACACACACATTTAACTGCTCATGCACTTCCTGTTTTCCCGACTGAAATATCCATAAAGTTAGATTTGTTTGAAGATGAACTCTCTCAGATCAGATTACTCTGATTTCCACGGAAGTATTTTAAATTTTGTTTAGCTCCAACTGCTGGGATAGGCTCCAGCTCCGCCCGCAACCCCATATTTATTTAGGAGTCACTCGTGGGTGTCCTCTGGTGTTATGCAGTCATGTATTTGATATAACGAGTGAAACAGGATGAGGCCAAACTCCTCATAAACTGGTTCTACTACAAGTTCCTTACAGTCCCCAGCTGCATCCTTGGTGCTGCCGTATTCTAAGACTGCTGCACTTTCAGCACTGAAAACGTACTCACGCTCTGATTCACTCACTAGTTCTGTATGTAATGAGTCAGTATATAGTAAATACAAATTCGGGCAGCGGCTTGTTCCCTGGCCTTGCCCCGGAGGTAGGAACACTGGGACACTGACAACTAAATTACGGAATACCACCAACATCGACTGTGTAGCTCATGGCTGTGCTGTGTTTAGACATACTGTCGTTTTTAGGATGAATATTCATCATTTCATTAACATTCTCGTTTTCTTTACACTGGGACAGATGCAGACGTGTGTCAGTCACACACAGCAGTGTTTAAATAAGCCTTTCTTCAGGCGATTAACACTGCTAGCATATATACTAATTCCGTTAGCGTCACTATTGCAAAGCTAACCGTGGTTCCCCTCAGCGGTTCATAGCAGCTGTGGCTCAAACACAGTCAGCTGACGACTGAATAGACATTCAGTTAACATTTCAGTAAAGTTATGTCTGATCCTTTCAGTACAATTAAACTTGGGTCAGGATACTTTGTTCATAAAATGAATAAATAAAGTGCAATAAATAAATATTATAAATCGATAAATATAAATTAATATAATATATTAAAAATAAATAAATAAACAAATATTGCAAATAAATATTTTTTATTTGCAATAAATAAATAAAGTGCATACTCTGTTCTATTGCATTTCTGTGCTAAATACAGCAGAACTTTATCAGTAAACCTTGAAAAAGGTACAACACACTAAAGGAAAGAGAAAAACCAGAGAAGCGTAAGAAGTCCGCTTTAATAATATTCAAGTTATGAAATGGAACGGCAGGTCAGGATTCCCACACGCCCTGGAAAACCTGAATATTTTGAAATGGATAGACTCGTCTTCCGGTCATTGAAAACACTTTTTAAATCTCTTTTTATTTGTTTATTTTTTCTCTGTTTTATATCAGGTTGTTTGAGATCCATCCAGAGTGTAAAGATGCTTTCTTCGACTTTCGAGATGTTGCGGATCCGGAAATCCAGGCCAGCAGAGAACTGCGCGCTCACGGCCTCCGGTAAGAGATCGTGCTGACCTTTGCCCTTTTCTCTGAGCTGTGGGCGGAATATTAATTATAATTTATAATAATTCCTTTAGTAATCTCTGGACGTCGATGATGTGTGAGGGTTTTTGATGGGGGTTGAGGTAGTTCAGCCTCAGAAGCTCCGCCCATAGAGACACACGGCCGCTTGATATTGATCATATTTTAAAAGATGGTTAATATCAGCTTCACTGTGATTAGAAAATCCACACTTAACCATTTTATAGAGCAGTTTTGTTGTTCTTATTGAAAAACTCACATTACACAATCACAAATTATACATTATTTATTCTGATTCTGTCTTTAGTGTTTTTAGTTTTTTACGCTTTGTTATTTTGTGTTTTTTATTTTATTCTCCTGTTTTCTTAATCAAATTTAAAGTGTTTTATATGCTAAGACTGTTTAAGCTGAGACTCTGTTTTCCAGCGTGATGTCCTTCCTGGAGAAGAGCGTGGCCCGGCTCGGAAAACCAGAGCATTTAGATCAGCTGGTTCTGGAACTGGGACGGAAACATTGCCATTACAATTCCAACCCTAAATACTACATGGTCAGTCTCAGCTGGACGCTTATTCTGCTTTTAGAGATGCTTGTTGAGCCACAACGGGACATGCTTACAAATGAAGGTGACAAAAAAGGGTTCTTTGAATGATGAAGCGATAGAGAACCACGTTTGTTTCTCTTAAGAACTTTTCGTTTGTAAAAGAGCTTTTTGAGAACCTCAACATAATAAATAGGAAGTGAAAATAGGAATACTGAACACTTTAAACCTTTAAACAGTTCTTCACACTCACCAAAATCTTGTTTTTGTACATGATTCCCTAGGGAATCAAAAGTGGTTCTGTTATGGCATCACTCAAAGAACACTTTCTGGCTCCTTTCTGTAGCCTCTTTCTGCCGCTGCACTCGCGGCCAGTCCGACCCGGATATTTTTAATTAATATGATCTAATAAAATGTAACTCTGTCAACATTATTGAAGAAGAAACTAAAGGCAGAGTTTCTTCTGAGGTTCCAAAACAGGCAGAACCTGCATTTATTAGCTGCTGTGAAAAGGTTAAATGTATATCACTTGCTTTAGAATCTGAACTGTGATTGTTTGGAGAAGCTGCTGCAGAACAAAAATCTCAGTTCCAGATTCACCAATAAACTCCCACTAAACAGCTTTTATCCACTGATACATTTGTTATTATGGTTGCTAAAGCAAGGCGCAACTATATTGTTATCTGATTTATATTATTCTTTTTATTATTATTATTATTATTATTATTATTTTTCTGCCGGATTTTTTGTCCCGTAACTAGTCCCGCAGTTTTCGAGATATCAACACCGTTCCAGCTCCAGATTGTCCGGCCTGATTGTGTGATGCGTGCTTGTATACAGCTTTTTGATCGGATGCACGGATTCCGCGTAGCAAGGGAATTTTGCGGACATTTTTTCCCATAGAGAATGAATGGGGTAAACATTTGCATGCCAATCTAAGGTACTTCTGCTTGTCCGATCGACACCGTTTTTGATACACTATCTCAGGGCAGGCCCACAACCATTAATCCACTGTCGTTTTGACCCGCACTCATCCGTTTGTCGTTTTATTCTATCATTTGTTCCTCCCATTGACTTACATCGAGCGGACTGTTGGCAGCATGCCAGACATGATGTCACAATGGGCCGTTAACTCACACACCCATCCAGACCCACGCACGGAGCCCAATGTCTCACCCGCTCCCAGCCTAATGCTCAGCAGTATCAGCACACATAATGATTTTTTTTAAGGTGGAACTGCTTTTAAGGGGGAATTGCACTTAGCTAGCACAAGAACTAATTCACCGCCATACTGACCCGCACTCCTCTATTTGTCGTTTTTTCATCCCTCGTTCCTCCCATAGAGTCTCATTCATTTTTGCCACCACTCAAAATGAATTACTTCTTTGTCCGATAGCCGCCAAAATGGATGTAGTCACTCAGGGCACATCCTCAAGCTCTAATCCATAGCTATACTGAACCACACTCCTCTATTTGTCATTTTTTCCATTTTTCATCCCTCGTTCCTCCCATAGAGTCTAATTTATTTTTGCCACCACTCAAACTCTAGCCCTTCTTTGCCCAACAGTCACCAAAATGCATGCACTCATTCAGGGCACACCCCAAAGCTCTAATCCATAGCCATACCAACCCACACTCCTCTATTTTTCATTTTTTCATCCCTCGTTCCTCCCATATAGTCCCATTAATTTTGGCCACCACTCAAACTTTATTACTTCTTTGCCAGACAGTCACCAAAATACATGTACTCATTCAGGGCAGGTCCCCAAGTTTTAATCCATAGCCGCGCTGACCCGCACTCCTCTATTTGTCGTTTTTTTTCATCCCTCGTTCCTCCCATAGAATCCCATTCATTTTTACCACCACTCAAACTCTATTACTTCTTTGCCTAACACTCACTGAAATGCAAGTACTCACTCAGGGCACGGCTCCAAGCTCTTATCCAAAGCCATACTCACCCGCACTCCTCTATTTGTCTTTTTTTCTCATCCCTCGCTCCTCCCATATAGTCCCATAAATTTTCGCCACCACTCAAACTTACTTATTTGCCTGACAGTCACCGAAAAGCATGTACTCATTCAGGGCAGGTCCCCAAGCTATAATCCACAGACATCCTGACCCGCACTCATCTGTTTGTCGTTTTTTCATCCCTCATTGCTCCCTTAGAATCCCATTTATTTTCGGCCATACCATAGCCCTGTTTTTTGCAATGTGCAACAGACACCGAAATGCATGGGCACATTCCCAAGCTCTAATCCACAGCCACACTGACTCACGCACTCATCTTTTTGTCGTTTTTTCATCCCTTGTTCCTCCCGTAGAGTCACATTTATTTTCTTTCACAACAAAGCACTGATCTGTCTTTTTCTCAACAGCCACCAAAGTACATGTACTCTTTCAGACCAGGTCTCCAAGCTCTAATCCACAGCCATACTGACCCACACTCCTCTATGAGTCCTTTTTCATCCCTCATTCCTCCTATAGAATTCCATAGTAACCGCGGTGCAACCATTCCACGTTTCCTTTAGGAAATGCACTTTTCTAGTTTGTAATTGTTATTGTTTATGATCAAATGTCTTACAGTATCTTGGCACTGAGTTCATCCGAGTAATTAAACCAATCCTGAAGGAAAGCTGGTCCTCAGAACTGGAGAACGCCTGGACGGTAAATAGTTTGTTTCTCAACATTTGAAGCTCTGGTCAGTGTTACTGTGGTCACTTTTACTAAACAGAGTTTAAAACACTTTCAGATCCAGAAATCTGTTGATTCATAAGCAAAAATTAACACGTTACAAACTCCATCTGTGATTAGGCTGGGGGCCTGGGGGACCAGGGGGCTTGGGGGCTGGAGGGCTGGGGAGCTGGGTGGAGGGGAAAGGAGCAGCAGATGGGGGTCCCTGAAGGAGGATTGGCCGTAGTGTTTTCCATCTCTTTTAGACCCTGTTTTTGTATTCGACAAACAGTCCTCTTTCCCTGTATTAATGATCATATTTGATCATATGAATGACCGTATCTGACTGTATGAATGACCATAACTGGCTGTATGACCGTAACTGACTATATGAATGACCGTATGAATTACCATATCTGAACATATTAATGTTTCTTACTGTATGAATGACCATAACTGGCTGTATGAATGATTGTATCTGACCATATGAATGACCGTAACTGACTATATGAATGACCATATCTGACTGTATGAATGACCGTATTGTCTTTCTGTCTTTCTTTTAGACCCTGTTCTTGTATTTGACTCAGATGATGAAGGTGGGCTTTGAGGAGGAGACAAGGAAACCACACGTTGGCTGGACCCCCTAAACACGGCATGTAGGGGATGGAGAGGTTCTTTAGGGTTCTTCAGCTGAGCACTGACATTCTAATATTGACACAAGCTTAATATTAATGATTCATTTATTTATTACTCATATACTAATTTATCAGTGAGTTATTAAAGTTAAAAGCACTGTCAGCATTAACTTCAGTTTTTCTTTTTTCCAAAATATTCAGTTTTTATGGTTAATATAGTGTAGCTGGAATATTGATTAATTTATTCTAAATAATATTTTATACTTTGCTGCGTGAAGAATGAATGTCTGCAGTTCATATTCAGCACATGACTGAAACTGATTTATTATAAATGTGATGAAAAATCACATAGTTTAAATGGTAAATAAAATGACAAAACTGTTCAGCTTGCAGCGATTATTCTCAAAAAAAATGCTAAATAACATTAAAAATGCAAAATATCACAAAATATCAGCAGAATCACTCAAACTCCTCCTGCAATCAGTTTACATTTTGAGGAAGGCAACAGCCAATGACGTTACAGTCGAACAGCAGAGACACGCCCCCTCACAGGAAGGAGGAGGTTCATCATTCAGGAAGTAAACAAATTCACATTAAGTGCAGCAGCTGATAAAAACAAACAAACAAACAAAACTGTTTAATTCAGAACCTGCAGTGCATAAAGTATGAACAAACAAAAAAGCAAATAAATAAATAAATACATTAATAAACAAATCCTGCTGAAAATGTACAATTGTTTCTTCAGTTGTTGTTTTCAGTGTTTAATAATAAGGGATTAATATGTTTATTGAGTAGAAATGTTGCTGTAACTCAAACAGATAAAAGCACATTTGGTGAGTCTGAATTATGGAACATGCAAATTTCACAAAATAACTCTTATTTGCATTTTAAACACACACGCTACACCCTCCACAACACTCGACCCGAACAAACAGCCACGTATTCAGTAATAAACTGCTACCCAGTGATGCTTTTATCAGAGTGCAAGAAATGTTCATTTTACGCCGAACAACGACTTCATTCTGTCGCCACGTTCTGCTAGACGATTATCTACCGAACACAGGAGAACCTTAACATCTCTAGAGAACACAATGAAAGAGTGAGTTTATTAGACGGTTCAGGTGAAACGAGTCTGTGGCTAAAGCTGGAGTTAAGCTAATCTTACAATCACGGCTGAACAAATAAAACATTCGCCGGTCAGCGTGGCAATGTTCAGCGAGCATGAGCTGGACTTTCAAACACAATCACACAACGCATTAATATTTCTGATTATGTCAATCTTTCGCTCAGTAGCAGAGACGATATAATTAAAGTTCTGAATGAACACATTCTGGTGTTTCTGCTTCTCTGGTCAGCAAGTCTGTGTGACCGTCAGATTGTAGACTTTGCCTATCTACATTCATTCAGTACGATCTGTTTGTCCAGCTCCTTCAACTTTGTCATAAGACTCAAACAGAAAGAGTTACAGCCGTAAAACCAGAACTGAAACTCATACAGTGGTCATAATGCAGTCATACTGTAACAGGGACTCTTATACACAGTCATAAAGCAGTCATTCTGTAACAGTGACCCTTATGCATAACTATAATGCAGTCATACCATAAAAGAGACCCTTATATACAATCATAAAGCAGTCATCCTGTAACAGTGACTCTTTTTACATAATCCCAATGGAGCCATACTGTAACAGTGACGCTTATACATACAACGCTACATATATACAGTCATAAAACAAACATTCTGTAACAGTGACTCATAATACATAATATAATGTAGTCATACTGTAACATCCTTATACATAACCCTAATGCAGTCATTGTTTAACCGAGACCTTCATACAGCAGTCATAATGCAAACTATAACAGAGACCCTTATCTACAGTCATAAAGCAGTCATTCTGTAACAGAGACCAGTATATACAGTCACACAGTGGTCATTTTGTAACAGCGACCCTCATACAGCAATCATAATGCCATCATACTGTAAAATTTACCCTTACACAGAATCCGAACGCAGTCATTCTGTAACAGTGACCCTCGTACGTCCACACAGGGGTCATTCCATAAGTACAGATGAGCAGATTCTGGTGTTAATGATATATTAGGGTATGAAATCCGCTGATAATCATGTGGTCTGAAATGGTAATTTTTTTATAACTGTCTTTACAAAAGTGATGTCAGAAGTAAACAGCGCGCTGCAACACTTTGTCTGCAAATCAACACAAGCACAATACGCAACTTTTTTTTTGGTAACTTTGCTAGTTTGTGAACATGCAAGAACTGATATTTTATTTTTTGTAATTATTTTTTTGGGTGTCATAAAGTAATATAAGAGGTTAAATAAAGAGTTGCAGTATAATAGCTGTGGTGAAACAGCTTTTTAAACATCATATTTTAACAGAAATGCTGATCATTTTGGTCACTGATATGAAATTTTCATACTATTCCATCTCCAGCCACAATGGTTACCCTCACACATGCAGTCATAAAGCAAGCGCACTGTAACATCAACCCATCTTGCTTTCAAAACGCCAAAATCACAACAAATAACCTAGCACAACTCAACTCACCTACACACAGTAATGAGAGTTTAACAGGTTCATGTTCTTCAGAGAAGTGTTTGCTTATCAGTTCTGTTTTCTGGACTTTTGCAGTAAACAGCCTGCAGCTTCATAATACACAAAAAGTTGCTATATTTTAACCCACACTGTTAAGAACTGCATGGAGCTGAGCTGTGTGATATACTCTCAGAAGCTCTGATGAATTCTGACACATAACATTCACATCATTCGCCACATTCACCATTCACAACAGTCAGAAACATCTGAACAATCACAACTACTGACAATCACAGCAGTCTGAGATGAAGCATAAATGATGTTGCATCCAGTTTTCACAAAGGCAGTTCACGAAAACGTCGCTGTGAGCTCGTTCAGTTTTTACGAACAGTCCTCTTTCTCGCTTGGGTCCTCTAGAGGGCACCATGGAGTCGCAACCTAAATCACACAGCACATTATGGCTGGAGCCGTTTCTCAGTCAGGAAATGAGCCACATGGACTTTCATCCACTCTTTGAAGCGAGCAACATGTCTTCAGTTTAATACAGCACTGTTTTTTGCCTAATTTTACATTAGCTTGTGCAGCATAGCAGCAGATTCTATAAAGCATAAAGGTATTTCTACCATTAATAACTACAGTATGAACAGAAAAATGATGGTTTTACATGAACACGGTGGACAGTGGTCTCCGGGGGGGATCGTGGATGCAGACCACTCACACTGCGTATCTCTCCCTCTCGGCCCCGCGGGCGCCTCTTTTAGCACTAGCACTAGCACTAGTGCCAGTGTTAGCGTTAGCAGCTGCGGAGCTGGAGAACTCCTTGGAGGTGGATCTGCTCTTTCCCACTGGAGACGTGACCACAGAGGGCAGCTTTAGGGTTCCTCCAGGTTCTACAATCGTGTTGATCACTGAGAAATTTCATAAATAAGTGTTATCACGGATAACAACAAACTAGGGATACACAACGTTTGTAGAAATGACTCAGAACTTCAAATTTGAAAATTATATATATATATATATATATATATATATATAGAATATTTGATAAATTCTTTTTTCTAATGTTTTACAGTCTCATATTTAAGAAACATGAGCTGTTTGAACTCAAATCTCCACCAGAGGGCAGTGTGGAGCTGCATCTTATGTTTGGTCAGAGGTTCTAGATCTAGGCTGGGCTAAATCAAACATCCTGATGAGTCCACTTTGGGCCGTGCTGCTGTAATCTGTCTAGTCTAGTGAAAACTACCTCAGACTGTGTAAAGAGTACGGAGGCCATCTAAAGACTTCAGTAGTCGTTTAAAGACTGCCACGCTGCCAGTGCTAAAGACTACTCCACAAATGTCTAAATAAAACCGCATACTGTCTAAAGACTATGGAACACTGTCTAAATACTACAAAAGCCGTCTAAAGGCTGTTGCACACCGTCTAACCGACTACTGAAGCCGTGTAAAGGCTACCACGCACCATTTAAAGGCTACAAGACTACTGAAGCTGTCTACTGAAGGCTACTGCACACTGTTTAAAAACGACTGAAGCTGTCTGCACACTACTGTCCAACTCAATACTGATTATCACAGAAGGCTGGGATATGCAAATGAGCCTCTGACCAATCACAGTGTTGTTTACTGTGTGTTGACCAAACACAGCACTGCATGAGTTTCTGTGGGAGTTTTAATGAATCAGTGTATTTATGTAATTCAACAGAATGACATTATTACTTTAACTAAGTCACATTATTGATTAACTAGTAGATTTATAATATATTGTAAAATCAATCAGAACTGCAATATTTAGGAATATAATCACAACTAGAGTATTTTGTTGTGCAGCTCTGAATTCAACCATGTTTTAGTACTAAATAAAATGAACGAAAGAATAAAACTCACCCTCCAGCTGCCTCTGGACTCTCCGAAGCTCCTGCAGGATTGAGGAGATTTCCTGTTGCACAGAAAACGATACATACATTGTCAAACTCACATCCTTTAAGACTCTAGTCTGATTGGGATCAATAAGTTCAGTGGCTGTAAAATCTCACTTTGTTGGAGGTCTTAAGGATGGGAACTTCATTCTCAGCGTTGATCTTCGCTTCAATCTCCTCCCACACTTCCGTCTTACTATGAAACAAAGCTCTGAGGGAAAAAAGACACAAATCTGGGGTCAGTTAAAAAGTTTTTTTTGTGTTTTTCCTGTCCAAACAGAGAAACATAACACGGATGGAGGTTCTAACAGTGTAAACGGTAAAGTCTTACTTCATTTTCTCGGCCAGCTGCTCTGTGTTCTCTCTGATGGCCTGTGAGAGCTGCGATACGGGATTCAGCATTAAATTATCCAAAATGACCTGCAATAAGACGAGTCACAGAACAGAAATAGATCAGATGAGCATTTTAATTTTATTTGGATAAAATCACTGATTTCGCAGCGAATATAAAATAAAGTGTGTCACTATACAAGTGTCAGGGGTCCAGATGTGATCTCTATACAAGTGTCACGGGTCCAGATGTGATCTCTATGTGAACATCTGGGGAAAACCATCAGAAATTCTGGGCTTATGTGGTATTGTAAACTTATTAGGGGGAAACAAACTGAAAGTGAAATTTCTAAACCAATCCAACACTTTGTTAAGGCGGAGCTCATAGCAGGGGGCACTGGTGCGCTCGTCAACAAGCCTGTCGTTAGCACATGGATGTAGCGCAAGTTAACACGACTGAAAAGTCCAGTTAAGCCTGTTGATGTGAGTCGTGAGTGCAGAAAATACATTACAGTAAAAATAAACACTCGCTCTTACAGAGAAAACTATTCTGGAATTTCGCTAATGATAGCATTTTGCTAGTTAGCTTATTTAGTTTGAGTTACTGATTGAAAGAGCACACGCTAGAGGAAATTGGTAGTGGGGTTTAACAGGGGGTGGGGTTAAGATGGGACGTGTCCCTGTTAGTGGTGGATTTTGCCACAATCTAGAACCAAAAGTTTGTGAAGTCGTCCCCAGATGTGTAACAAAATCACGTCTGATACTGCAAGACTGAGCGCTAAAATGCACAGGAGTGAAAATGTAGTGAAGGTGTCTGACTGTGACCTCTTCACGGTTCCACGGACGCCGTTTGAAGCCCTCTTGTTCATTCATGTTTGAGTCCTGGTCCACTGGACTGGATGATCCTAGAGGAACCTTTTGGTAGTTCAGGCTGGCTTCAGGTATGTGATGCACCAACTGCAGGACAAAGAGTTAAACACTAACAGTTAAAAACAAACACACAAACAAACAGTCGCCTGACCAAAAGATAAATGTGAGTCAGCACTGCAGCCTGACAGAAAGAAATTAGTTTTAGGACCATTTCTCTCTGAGGGGTGTTTAGGTGAACATGCTGATTACAGTGTAAACAGAATGAAGAGCTCTGTGTTCACAGAATGTTCACATTAAACTGTAAATACAGCAGTGAATCACTGGCAGAGAAAACATCCACACTTCATTTTACACTGAAAACAACAGAGAAATGTAAACTTAAGTAAAATTAAGGTGAGATTGATAATTTTTCCAGTAATTGTGGAGCTCTGCGCAGAAAACAGAACGTCTGATTACGCACAAACAATTAATAATAATACTAATAGTACAAATAATAGTAATAATAAGTATCATTACTGGTCAGAATGGAGCTTCTGTACTAGAATTCAGCAGAAAGTTTAAGCACGTTGAGCTGTTACCATCGCCTGGTGTTTGAGAACTTTTAATCTGAAGTCTTTTTGTACATTATAAACTGAATGAGGATGATTTCATATCGGAGCGTTTTGTGAACATACAGCTGGACTGTGTGGAAGTGCACCATGCGTCTGTGGAACGTGACGATGCAGGTGTGAACAGGACACTGTGATCAAACAGTCACATTAATGCGGTGCTTTTGTATCGTTACACAATTAATTCCACTCATTATCAATATCAGTTCACAGAACTAATACTGATATAAACAGCACAGCACACAGGAAGCAGTGAGGAAAATGAATGAAGATGAAGGATGAATTTAGCACCTGCGATGTGAGGAACCCGTGTAATGATGAATATGAACTCTGCACAAAAGAGATACAACAGAACATCCAGAAGGAGAAAAAACAGTTTATATTCTAGTATTAATGAGCTTCAGCATACAGTCATGGTGTTCCTTTAAAAAACCTTAAAACTCTGACTTTACTCTCTTAAACTCAGACTTAAACCCCTAAAACTCTGATTTTGTTCTCTAAAACTTAAATCCTTAAACTCTAACCTAACCAGTAAATTGTATATTTGTATGTAGATCCACAATTCAACTAAATTCATAGTGATTTACAGTAGTTACTGAATAATTCATAGTACATATTGAATAATTCATAGTAGATACTGAATAATTCATAGAAGTTGCTGAATAATTCACAGTGGACTATGAATAATTTATAGTAGCTGCTGAATAATTTATAGTGGATTATGAATAATTCATAGCAGATACTGAATAATTCATAGTAGCTGCTGAATAATTCATAGTTTCTCATAATCAAACGCTGTTTCCTGTTTTTTTGGCCGTTCATGCTCAGTGTGTGGATCTGTGTCGTGTTCTTTTTATTAAAATAAGACTCTCCTCGGTCTCATAGTTAATGTATTCACTGATCTCAGTGCAGAAGAAGTGAAGTTATCAGACTGACCTCCTCTCTGGCTGAGATGGTGGAGGCCGGAGTGTTGGGCATGGAGCCCGGAGAGGTGGTGGTCCCCATGCCTGAAGATGTTTGGGAATCACCGTCTCCAGCTACATCATGGATTTCACGCGCAAGTATGGCAAGATCTTTGGCTAGATCCTGACTCAACCTGAACACAACACACAACGCAAACACAAATAAATGCTGACGTGTTAACTACAGATCTGATTATTATTATTTTTACAGAAACCTTTTTAGGAAACCTATTTAAAAATGTTACCAAACCCTTTAGAATTACAGTTATACCACCAATAACAAACCACACTGTAATTTCATATGAATTATTTCACAATGAAATAATTCATGAAAGTATTGTGTGGAAAGTGCAGATTTTGAACTTTTATACACGTGTGTTTGTAAATTTGTAAGAAGAGATGTTTCATTATGAGTTGAATTTGATGACTACTTACTACTGTGTTAAAGAGAAACAACATTTCTTACCCTATAGCCTTTTTTTGAACTGCTGAGTAAAAACTAACCTGGCTATCTCTGCACTGTGAGTGGACCAGTTCTGATAGTGCTCATTCTGAGCCTCATCCTCCTCCGTCTCCAGAGAGCTGGGCTTCAGCCGAGACTGGACAGTCTTCTGTGGTGTTTGCGTCTGTGTGGAGGCCGACGCATGAGAGCGTTTGTGTTTAGAACTAGAACTGGTTTCAAACTCCTCCTCTGAGGTAGAATAGTCTGAACCTTTCTGTCTCCGTCGAGAACCTCCGGAGAAGAGAGGAGAAAGACAACGAGATGTTACGCTAAATAATCTGAACAACACAATATCATGAATAATGCAATAGGAGTGATGCTTGTTTATTTGATGTTTGTTAATGAAGCCTTTAGAAGGTGGCGGTGAGTGACGTTTGTCTACTTGAAATGTTGATTTGTACCCGAAGAGAACTGATTTGGTTCATACTCACTGGTTGTGCTACTGTGTTTAGGCTGGGTAGTGCGCGTGCGCGTGGAGGAATGTGTTCCTTTCGCAGTGGACTGTTTCGGTTCTCCTGTTGATAATTTCCGCCCACTACTGCTGCTCTCAGCAGGACGGCTGGGTGCTCCAGGTTTGCCACTAGTTGATTCAGTATCACTGGGAGCAGTGAAGGAGCCTGTCCGTTTGCGGGGCATGGCCAAAATGTCCAACCTAGAGAGCTTCTTCGCATCACCAGGGGTCTTTGTGTGCTCAGAACTCTGAGAGCCACGGTCTGTTTCTGCTCCCTCGTTGTCAGAAGCTTCACCAAGACGGGCGCGGCGCAGCATGGATGCTCGGGTGGGTCTGGGGGCTGAAAGACTGTTGGATCGAGTCAGCACCTGTTGACTTGCCTTATTTGACTTGCTGGAATCTTCCTTTTGTAGAGGCGCTGTGAGTTTCTTGCGGCTGGCAGGCCGTGAAGCTGACTCATGGTCCGACGCTGCAGTGTCAGGCCACAGCTGCTGGCCATGGCTCTGCTGGTTCTCAGAAAGATCTAATGAACCACGGTTTCCGGCACTGCGGCGTAACTGGAGACGGCGGGCTGCCTCAGCTTTTCCGGTGCCATCTGCAGTGGCATGGTTGCGACGTTTTTCAGAAAGTCGTTCACGTGCTGTTGGCTGTCGACTTTTCTCCTGAGCAGACAGACTGGAGGAGGATTTCTCTTTACGGAGTCCGCTTGCAGCTGTTCGTTTCTTGGGTGCGCTGACTGGGGCGTTTTTGCTGCTGACCAGGCTCACAGTACTGGCAGTGTCCACATCTGATTCTCCAGAGAGAGACTCATCTGCTCGTCCAGGGGGACTTCCCTTTTTAGACCGCTGGGTGGATGTTGATTGCTTTCCCTCTGGAGAAACCAAGGATCTCTTCTCCTTGGGTAAAGCAGAGGCATCTAGGTCACTTCCCTCTGTGCCCAAGTCCCTTAAGGCAGGGTGACTAGAGATGTGTGGCAGCCTCTTGACCTGGATGTTGTCGCTGGGCCGATCTTTGGTGAAGCTCTCCTGACGGACAAATGAGGATGAATGAGACTCTTTGGTGGGGACTGAGTCCCTGTCTTGGGTCTGGAGGTTGGGTGCTGAGGAGTTGGGTTTCACTGGCCGCCTGGGCTCCTGGCTACTTAGGTGTCGTATCAAGACAGTGGTTGGAGGCATCTTTGGAGAAGGATCTCTCTCAGTTTGGGAAAGAACAGGACTCCGGGATGTATCTGATTTGCAAGAACCATCCTCAGAACCAATGTAGAAGGAAGTGGATTTAGGTGTGGCTGCTGGCGTCTCGAGAACCCTAGAATGGGGTATATTTTCAAGAGGTGAGGTTGCAGCAGTTCCACGTCGACCTTGACTCCTTGCACTCCTATCAAGGATGGAGCTGTCATCTGAGCGACTCGTGTCACTTAAGCTATCGTGATCTACATCCTCCTGGACCCGCAACCTCTGGGTGGAATCCTGCTGCTGCGGTGCTCTGGAGCCTCTTTCTGGTGGTTCATGATCCAGGTTTGGCTCGTGTCGGATTAGGATGCTTGGAGTGGAGGCATCCTGCTTGTCTCCACCAGGAGGGACCTGGGGAAGGAGCCGTCTGGTCCTGGAGCTCTGACTGTACTCTGATTCTGAATGATCTAAACTTTGGCTCATCATTACCACTCTTCCATCTGCAGTATCAAAGAGATGGTAATGTCTTGAGTTACTTTCATGGTTTTTGAGACACTTTACACAACAGTTCCAGTCAAACAATCAGATTGTAAAGAGTTCTGACTCTGATAACTGTATATTTTTTTTCCATAGCTGTATTACTATGCTGACCACCGACAGGTAACCAGCAACAACTTTACACTGCTGGAACTACTTTTTTTTCGGCACAAGAAGGTGTCAATATTGAAAACATGTATTTTAAGCAATGTTTGTCTTCCTTGCTTTATTTTTGCCTTTGCAAAACTGCTGTATCAGAACACTTGAGGTTGTGCATTATCACAAATACCATCATGGCTGTACTGATCACCCTCTTTCGGCTCCAAACTCGATTTCAGCAGTGATATTCATAATACCACAATCCCTGTTAACATACATCACCTCTGTTTAGAAGTCCACCTTGGGGTGGAGTGCCTGAAGGTGCCTGTGCAGAACCAGAATCAGTGTACGTGTCAGCTAGGCTCGCCCACCGAGACACCCATTTAGGTCCTCCTTGATCAGCGTGTTCCTAAATTTAATAAGGGAGAGTTATGTTAATGACTGATAATGTAATTACAAATTACATTATGTCTAATGTCAGAGGAAAAAGAGAGAGTGTTTCATACACTGTGGGAGTTAAAATACCTGCATGAAGTCAGATGGATCACCACTGAGGGTGGGGCCGAGATCTTGTGCTGATGTTGGCAGGATGTCAAGAGGCCCACTCTGGGCATGACTGAAGATCCCTTGCTCATTGATCACAGGCCTATAAACCCCAAGGGTTTGACCACTGTATTCTGGGGCATCCAGCACCCCGAAAACCTGTGAATAATATTAGAGATTATTTACTCCTTCAAAACAAAGGTGACCATTACTACTAATAATAATTAGAGTGTTATAATATGTATGCAGCAAACAGGAATCCTTGAGAAATGTGCGACACAGTGAAAATGATTAATGTCTGATAGTCCATTAGGTTTATTAATTCTGTGTCCCAAAACAAAATAAAATCTTCAAAACAATTTAGACCCTATACACAACAGGTTTTGTTGAGTCATGTATGACATGCTAGACTAAGTAGCTAAGAGAACACGTTGGTTCCTCATAATGGTCCACTGATGAAGGATCAGCCTGCAGAGCATGTTAAAAAAGTTCACTAAAGTCCCTCTTTGGGAGTTCAGAATGCTCTTTGGGAATATCATTTTTCCTAACATGCACAATAATCCAGTCAATCATTTGATGTTCATAGTATTTTAGGACATTTTTCATTTCTAACTAAGGAAGTTACAATGGGTAGAAGTTGACCCCTTGTTCACTAATTAAAGCGGGCACAGTACAGAGCCTTGTGGTACCCCAATCAATACACCATGTCTTTTTGCTGTATGTTCAATTAGATTAACAAAATATTGCCTTTGAAGTAAATATATGTTTATGGTAGTTAAACTACCACACTCTATTTACCCTTTACATGTGGGTGAAATTTTTATAATGAATGGAACTTTACAGAAATTGTGCAAAATTACTTGGGGAAAAAATCTTTTTATGTTACTTCTATCACAATTAAAAACATTTTTTTCCTTTTCCTGTAAAATTACTTTGGAGAGCGACGGTATGCTTCTGTGACTGTATCACATTTAACATGTACTTAAAGTATCCAAGACATTTTTCACCTGATCGATCATACTCCGAGCCTCCTCCACTTCTTTATCTTGAGACTCTGTCTCAATAGTGTAGGTACCAGCATCACTTAAACTATCCTCCTCTTCTGTGCGCACTGCCCTGGAGGCCTTGGGATCCACCCCAGTGACCGCCAGTGGAGAAAACTGAGGTAAGGACGAGCGCACAGGGGTAGCACTGGAGACTGGACCCAAAGCTGGTGAGTGAGAAGGGACAGGAGAAGGGACAGGAGAAGGGACAGAAACAGGAACAGGTACCGGGACAGAGGTGGTGTGTGGAAGAAGTGGCTGGGCCAGTGCAGGTAGCTGGGACGGAGAGGATGGGTAGGACACAGAGGAGGGCCCGTGGGGTTCTGCTGGAGATGGCAGGTGAGTGTGAGACGGAGACATCATCACTGGTGGAGCTGACATGGGAGGTGAAGACACCTGTTCTGAATCCTTAAGGAACTCAGCAGCAAATTCTTGAGCGAGTTTGGATTTCTTGCCGATGCTGCCAAAAGGCTTGATGGTGATAGCTGGAGAAGAGCGAGAGGAAGGGCCAGAAGAGGAAGGGGAGGTGCTGCTTCTGCTCATTACTTCCTCCGTCTTCTCCCTCTTCAGTGAGCTAGACCTTTGGGGACCGCTGTGACCGGCGCCTTTGAGAGGAACCGTAATTTGCTGTGTGGGAGGAATATGTCCGTGCACAGAGGCAGGCCTTTCACCGTGAGCCCCGCCTTTACGGCGCTCCAGCTTGGCTTTGAGGGCAGAATAAGTGTCGGCATGTGCTGGATTGTGGGTGAAAGACTGTGAACGCTTCTTTCGGGGATTGTCGTCGAAGAACTCAATGATAAAGGCTTGCTGGCTGAGGATCTCCTGGTGTCCAGACTTCACCTGGCTTTGAGCAGGAGGAGGCATCTCCTGTACAGGCCTAACATCAGTTCCCTCAGGACCCAGAGATAAGTCCTGAGGGTGTTGAGGAGGTGATGGTGGCTGAGGCTGGTAAGGCCCCTGGGAGTGGGCCAACTGTTGGGACGGCACTGAACTGGACGGCCCAGACATTTTTGACATGGTTGATGGGTGAGACTGTACTGACTGCTGGGACTGGACCGAGTGCTGTGATTTGCTCCGCTTTCCTTTCATTACAGGATCTTCTGAATCACTCTGAGTACCATCTTCGTGATGGTGGCCTACAAAAAATATATAAATGTAAACATTTCTCACTAAGATATGGACATTCTTACATGTTTACATGTCATATAACAAGGTACATGAAAAACAAAAAGACGGTACATAATAAACTATACATGCAAGAGTCAGAGTGTAATTTACAAATCATGATTTAATATCAAAAACAGTATCAGCAGCAGCACAGCCTTTAACCTTTCAGTGTTCTAATGTGCATGGCAAGGTCACTCTTGGTACTGTAGACATCGTCACACGGCGGCCGCCTGCGCATCATACTGACGTCACTCTGAACCAGCCAGTCAGCCACTTTGCTCTCAGCCGACAGAACCTCCATAGGTGCTGCAGCCAGCGGCTTACTGCTCTGCTGCTGTTTGCTGCGCTGACGAGACGAGAACTTGGTCACGTGATCTTTTATGGTGATCTTTCCTGGTGTGCATTCATCAAACTCTATAGTGAACGAGGCATGGCTCTGAACCGCTGGCGGCGTTGACGCTGGGGGCCCATCAGTGTCTTTGGTTGGTATATCATTCAGCTCCACTGCTGGAGACTTGGGGTGCGTCTGGAACTCCTTGGTGGGAATCTCGAAGTAGCTGGGCTCTCGATGGTACAGAAAAACTGACTTGCCCTGGCTGTCACGAAAGTCCTGAAGGGCGCCATTCACCTCAGCTTCAGTGGCAGGATCCTCTTTGTGGACCTCTGTAAACAAACAACAAAGCAAAACTGTTGCAGAAATTAGCCAACGTAACAATATGGCCACTTTTCACAATGCACAGTATGTTAGGGACATAGGACTGTCAAAATGAACACTTAACATAACAAATTACTAACGCCACTGATTTTTTAACCATTAACTCGCCAGTAGTTGTACAGGCTGAATTTCAGTGCGCTGTATATCGCTCTGATAGAATCCGTGATTGTAACGTTCTCATTCAAATACATCGTTTAAGTGTCTTTTAATGTGAAACGTTCAGCATATTCAGCAGACGACGCTGGACAGATGCTCGCAGGAGAACTATGGATAAACCAGCCAGCAGCAAACTAACAAAAGCAGCAACTTAGTGACGCTCCAGTTCCCCTCAAGAAACTCCACTTTAACAAGAACCCGTGAGCTGAATGAACGAGAATGAACAACAATATCACGGAGGAACGACTGAGACACTGACTGTTTATATGATATATACACCTGCTGTATGTATGATATATATATAATAAATACACTCATTCATATATGTATATATATACTGGAACATGCTGACACTGTTCATCTTACTGGACAATGAGGGCGGAGCTTACCAGAGCGGCTGTCGTCTGTCTTGCGTCCTTCGGTCTGTGGATCTTTTCCCGAGTCCTCCTCTCCCCACCATGATGGCTGACCATACAGTGGAGTGGGACGAGGCGCCGGGACCTCTGAACAGACACAGATACACATGCAGTCATGTAAAAATGTTTATGCTCTCCTGGTTAAATTCCATGTTGTTGAGTGTAAATAAGTTATACACCCTCGACAGAGACACTTCTGTACAATTTAATACACTGTTTATTTACTGAATTTAACACACTGAAACAAATAAAACATAAAATGTAAGAGTTATGGCATATTTTATGTTTTCTTTTTTCCAACTCAGCAATAATAAAAACAGAGCACACAAAGTTTTTGCTCTGTAGAGAATCTGTTGACTTATTTTTCACTTAGAAAATCAACAAAAAATGGAATCTGACTAAAGAAGTTCAAACCTTTGCATACAACTGTATATATTGAGTGCAATGCACTGTCTAATGACATAATTACGCATACTGCTTTTCTCTGTATATTGCTTTATATGGACAGTTGGTATTAAAATTAAAAAGAAAACACTCACAATCAGCTTTGACATCGTTTATATTAAACAGTAAAACATTAATAAACATTTAAAACACTGTGAAAGCCTTTTCTCGGCTGCGGTGTAGCACAGACGTGCTGAATAAACAGCTCATTCTGAATGAAAATCTCTAGAAAGCAACTGTGGAGAGATTTAAACAGACAGACTGAAGGTCACATGCAGCACTGATGCAGCGGCCTGTTTCTGAGACAAAGCTACAGGATTATCTCAGAGTCAGAACAGACCGAACGCAGCAGAGCGCTCACAGATTAACCAAACAGGGCAACTGTAGAAAGAACAGCTTTATTAGACACTGGAGATACAGAATAGACATTATTATTCACTGACCACTAACTGACCACCCTCAACCCCTCACCTGTGAGGCTCTTCCGTTCAGATTTCTCCAGTTTAGATCTTTCTTCCTGCAGCTCCTGTCTCTTCCCCTCAGAACTTTTTAAACCCATCTGCAGCTGACTGGTGTACTTCTCGTGCTGGAACAGCAGGGGGCAGTCAAACAACAACGTTACAATATCAGATAACAGAGAAGAGAACGTGTAGAGAGAACTGCCACTCAGTGATGCCTTCTGGGCTTGTTAAACACCAAGTCCAAAATGACTGAGTCCAAAATGACTGAGCATTTGAGCAAAATCATACTTTGTAAATGTTTAAACTTTTTTTAAACAGAAGCATGCATTCATTTCCTAAACACAAAAAAGCACAAAACATTTTAAGACCAGTTATATTTCTGAGAACCCAAGTTTTCAGACTTTATAACAGTGCTTCATGTACATTCATGACAGCCAATGAGCTGCTCCGCACCATTAAAATGTGCTAATATATACCGCCTCAGCTCTAGACAGCAAGAACCAGAGAGCACTGTTCCACAGTCATGTGTCCACAGTCCATCCATCACATCATCACCACCATCACCACCACCATCACTATCCTCACCTCTCCATCACCATAATCATCACCACCATCACCAACATCAGCATCATCACCACCAACATAATCATCATCATCATCATCAACATCTTCACCATCATTACTATCATCATCACCATCATCATCACCACCATCACCATTATGACTATCATTACCATCATCATCACTCTTTACAGCAGCACAAATTAAACACTTAAAAACTCTCAGGCTGCTTTTACTGACACGTCAATCAGTGATTTACTCACAAACTGCAGAGCTAAAGTGTAACTCACCTTTAGAGCCTCCTCAGGAACTTTGTGTTCACTCCTCTCCAGAACATACACGTGAGAATGTTCTGTGTGAGTTAAGAGAAAATCTGCTACTGATAACCAAACAAACAGAAACACAACATCTATCAGCACATTAAAAGATTTAAAGCTGAATTATGATCACCGGATGGTGTGTAAAGGGTTAAATGTGAGAGCAGTTCACGCAGCATCAGATCTGCACACATCTGTAATGTTTTACTGTAAAGCTTTGAATTCTCTAAAGATCAAATTAACTCAAACAGCTTCAAACGTGTTTATTAAAGATCTCTGTAAAGGATATCATATCCAAAACGAACAATGTCAGACAGTTTGAGGGTGATGTAGGTCTGGTCAGGAATTCTCAGGTCATTCACAAACGTCTGCAGGTAACAAAAGAGCACAAACACCCACACACACACAAACATGTGTCATTAGTCTAAAGTGGGGGGGGGGGACAAAACTTTTTGTCCTGGTGTTCAGATCAATATACAAAGAAGAAACATATTAAAAACCTACCATATAACATTGCACTGCAATTTCTTACTATAAAACTTCAAAAATATATCTTTGAGCAGAATAAGTTATATGTAATTTAAAAATATAACCTCCTCATCAGTCACACTACAGCCAGTGCTGCTCTGGATCTCCTCCAGAATGAGATCTTATGTATTTACAAATATATAGCAGTATGAAGTATATCTTAAATATATCGTTGCTGTCTGAACAAAACCTTGTATCTCCATTTTTGTTGTTTTTCAGTTTTTGACATAATTTGAAAATACCTGATGTCTTCTACATTGTGTGTAAATTTCATGATGAATGAACCAAAAGAAAGGACCCAAGTCTGGTTCCATTGACTTACATTAAAAGTAAAATATGTGTTTCTCTTCTTCTGTGAAGTTACCCTTTTGGAGATACGAGGTTTTATTCCAACAATGGCGATATACACAAATCTTACTGCTAAAAGATTTTCTTGGTAGAAAACATCACACTTGACTGAGAACTTAAAAGTGCTAATAGAGTTATTTACGGCTCTGTTGAGGTTCTTCTCTGGAGGATTAATATTCTAATAACGTCACTGTGACACTCACTGGGCTGTGGTGTTAGGTGGAGTGAAAAGGTGTGAGAATGTGTGAGATGGAGTAAAAGGGTGTGAAATGGTGTGAGATGGTGTAAGATGGAGTGAAAAGGTGTGAGGTGTCAGATGGAGTGAAAAGGTGTGAGATAGAGTGAGATGGTGTGAGAAGATGTGAGGTGTGAGATGGCGTAAGATGGAATGTGAAGCTATGAGGTAGAGTGAGATGGTGTGAGAGGGGGTTAGAAGGTTAGAAGATGGTGTGAGAAGGTAATTATAAATAAATAATGTAAATTATTCACTGTGAATAATAAACAGTGTCTGTGTTTGTGATCTCACCCCATTTAAACTGCCCAGATCTTTAACCAGGTGCTCGTCTGTAGCAAGATTATAGTTAATGACCGCATGCTGTTTATCCACACTGCGGGACTGGAGAGAGAGAGAGGGAGAGAGAGAGAGAGAGAGAGAGAGAGAGAGAGAGAGAGAGAGAGAGAAAATAAACATGAATCCAGAGCCAGGAGGAGAGGAGAGAGGTGAGGTTTAATTCTTGTTAAACGTCACACTTTGAACCTTGTATTGTGTATAATATGGTTTGAAGGCCACACGATCTCCACACGACACTTGCACATTTTCACAGACATGCGTGGTGATTGTGTTTGACCAATCAGAGGTCTGTGCTGTTTCTAGCTCCACCCATACATCCTACCTCAGCAAGGAGAGTAACCAAATTCATGACCGGTACTCAGGTATGATATGGGTCACTGTGCAGTGGAACAGACCACAACATGATAATCATGGATCAATAACCGTACTGAACTGTCGAGTGAAAAACTCCAACAGATTTCAGTTTTTGGAGTTTAGTTTCTTCCAGACCATCAACTCCAATAGAAACAGAACTACCAACCTTACTGTGGATCACCGGTTCTCTGAGCAGAACCAGGTCTCAAAATACCAACACCTCCATAGTACTGACCAAAATCACTCTAATACTACAGAGAATCAAAAACTTAAAATCACTAAGTACTGAATTTCAGCACTTTAGTGTTCAGTCTCATCAGCCTCTGTAAGATATTCCGCATCTTATAAAATCTAGTGTCCATCTATTTCTCCTGACTGAAGAACATTCAGTCCACACTTCACTCGTCTCAAATTTACATGTTCCTCAAAATTAGCATCTTCAGGAGGAAGAGTGAAGAACATCAACATATCTCAAGTCCTTCAGAGCAGATCTTTTGTAAAGAAACTTTGACACAGTTTCAGACGCTTTAGCCAACGTTATTCCTCCTAATAAACAGAAACATGTTCAGCTCTGTCTCCTCATTATTCACTACCATCACTGTAATATTTTATCATCAACATTAACACACGAAGGTTATAAGAGGGATGGTGGAGATCGTGTCTGCAGTGTCAGATTTTTAAAACGCAGAGTTAGAAAAGAAAACATCTCACAAGTGAAAGCAGCATTTTACAGTACAAATCAGGGGTTCTCAACCTTTTCCACCCCAAGGCCCACCTGTTTGTAACTGTAAAGCATAGCGGCCCACAAAAAAAAACCTAAAAAATTTAACAAAAAAAATTTTTATAGTTTTTTTTTTAATTGCTCACACTGAAAACCTGTGAATTAGCACCTGAAAAGATCAGAAACCAAAATTTCTAGGTATGTTAAAAACAAAAAACGTTTGCAGAGATGTCAAAAAGAGGAAAAAGATAGATGTAGACTGTGATTGGAGCTGCAGTCCATTGCATCTTTACAGTAAAAACTCTTGTGGGCTTTTGGATTAGCATCATCACAATCAACAATAATAATAATGATCCTTAAATCATATCTGCTTCTTTGTCATTAGTTTATCAATTTGAGTTTAATTACTCAGGTTGCTAATGTTCGGCCAAAAATCAAACGCAGATGTTTAAAGGCTCATCTGTCGTTTTTAACAGCAGCTCGAGCTCAGACGATAGTCAGACGATAAAAAAGGCAGATTATGCTGACAGTACAGTGCTGACGTGCAGCTAAAAGAAGAGGAAAGTCGGCTCTACTGATGAATTCCCCCGTTTGATCATATAATGTGTCCCACCAGCAGTGAACTCAACAGGGTTCGGTTGGAAGCAGACTGAGACCCGTGGGTTTTGCCGAACCAGTGCCTGATGCAGACCCGAATACGGGTGGAGTGTTCATACAAGTCAAAACGAAGTGAACTAAAGAAAAAGTTTGCTAGGTCTGCACCGAACAAGGTAGGAGAAACACCCTGAGGAACCTCTCAATCTCTGGTTAACTCGCCTGCGGCTGCGTCGTCTCAAACTGATGACGTTAAATTAGCCTGCGACTGCGATATTCTATTTATACATCTCTACCAGCCCCCTAAGAACGACTGTCTACCCTTGAGTACAGGCCCACGGACCACTAGAAGGTGCTTCATGGCCCACTGGTGGTCTGTGGCCCACAGGTTGAATACATGTATAAATAAATATGCTATGAATAAATGTAGCCTCATTATGATAGTATTGAACTATGCTGCTTAAAATCGATAGAAACGGACACTTAAACAGACATTAGGACACTGTTGGGGTTTATCCTCAAGTTAGGACAGTATGTAGGAAATTTAGTCTAGTTAGGATGTTTGTGTGATACTGTTTTCTTATCTGGAGTTAATGATGAGATTATGAAGTTAGGAACTGTTATTCTGTTATAGCTATTGTTCACGCTCAGAGTGAGTGTTTCCTGTTACAGCGTCTCTGAGTGTTTAATGAAGGTGTTCAGTGTTGATCACAGTCATGTTCAGCTCACCTGCAGCATCAGCTCACAGTCCTCTCTGCCCACGAAGATCATCTCTCGCGGCAGACGGTGCCGAGTACCCGAGCTGCTCACCAGGAACCACGATGTCACGCTCATCTTTACTCTCCTCACAAACCCTTTTGCATCCTGGGAAACACAGGAGATGGACAGGTGAGCAGAAACACACCTGCACTGAACATTTACATTCAACTGATTCAAACATGTTCTTCATTTCCACTCTAATAAAACACATTATACCACAACAATCAATAAATAAATACATTACACTAACACAGTTATGACCCAACATAAATAAAATGAAATGAAATGATTTGCAAATCTCACAGACCCATATTTCATTCACAATAGAACATAGAACACATATCAGATGTTGAAAGTGAGACATTTTACCATTTCATGAAAAAATATTAACTCATTTAGAACTTGATGGCAACCACACATCTCAAAAAAGTTGGGACAGGGCCATGTCTACCACTGTACAGCATTCCCTCTTCTTTAAACAACAATCTGTAAATGTCTGGAAAGTGAGGAGACCAATTGCTGGAGTTTTGGGAAAGGAATGTTGTCCCATTCTTGTCTGATGTAGGATTCTAGCTGCTCAGCAGTCCTGAGTCTTCTTTGCTGGATTTTTTGTTTCATGATGTGCCAAATGTTGTTTATTGGTAAAAGGTCTGGACTGCAGGCAGGCCAGTACAGCACCCGGACTCTTCTTCTGCAAAGCTGTGCTGTTGTGATGGATGCAGTATGTGGTTTAGCTGTCTGGATGGGAGCATATGTTGTTCTAAAACCTCTATATACTGTTCAGCATTGATAGTGCCTTTCCAAATGTGTAAGCTGCCTACGCCATGGACACTAATGCAACTCTATGCCATCAGAGATGCAGGCTTTTGAACTGTGTGCTGATAACAAGCTGGATGGTCTCTCTCCTCTTGAGTCCGCAGGACATGGCATCTGTGGTTTCCAAAAAGAATTTCAAATTTTGATTCATCTGACCACAAAACAGTTTTTCATTTTGCCTCAGTCCATTTTAAATGAGCTTTGGCCCAGAGAAGACAGTGGCATTTCTGGATCATGTTGACATATGTCTTCTTCTTTGAACGATACAGCTTTAACTTGCATTTGTGGATTGCACAGTGAACTGTGTTCACAGACAGTGATTTTTGGAAGTGTTCCTGAACCCATGCAATGATTTCCAGAACGGAATCATGCCCGTTTTTAATGCAGTGCCGTCTGAGGACCCAAAGATCACAAGCATCCATCGGCCTTGTCCTCGCGTATAGGGATTTCTCCAGATACTCTCAATCTTTTGATGATATTATACACTGTATATGGCGGGATATCCAAATCCAATTTTCAAAAGTTTAAGTTAAGGAACATTTTTCTGACATTGTTCCACAATTTTTAAATGTAGTTTATCACAGATTGGTGAACCTGCCCATCTTTGCTTCTGAGAGGCTCTGCCTCTCTAAAATGCTCTTTTTGTACCAAGTCATGCGAGTTAGTTACAAATTGCTCCTCCAGCTGTTTTTTATTACCACCACTTACTTTTCCAGCCTTTTGTTGCCTCTGTCCCAACTTTTTTGAGATGCGTTGCTGCCATCAAGTTCTAAATGAGTTGTTTTTCATGAAATGGTAAAATGTCTCACTTTCAACATCTGACATGGGTTCTATGTTCTATTGTGAATAAAATATGGTTCTGTGAGATTTGCAAATCATTGCATTCTGTTTTTATTTACATTTAATTTACATTGCACACAACGTCCCGACTTTTTGAAACTGGGGTTGTATATTTGTTGTTATTTATACATTTATTTTGCTGATTTTCTTAGTTAGTTCGTTCTTTTACTTAGAACTTAATATTTATAGTATAGTATAGCAGAGATTTTCACTTTGCAGTGTTATTGTCTGGTTGTGATACGACAATAAACTATTAAATCTTCAGTATGACTGTTCAGACTTTTAGCACTGAACTTGATTCACCTGCACAGTTTATACACAAATATGTATATGGGTAAGTGACAAATAAGGTTTTACAAAAGAAAAGTTTTTGAAAATCCTATTAAAAAAGACATGATGTGCATTTTTATATCCGCGTATAAATTTGCATTTGTATCTGTGTGTATTTTCTTAAATATAGCAAGTGTTATCAAATCTTTTAATTTCCTGTTTCGGTTATTAAACTGTGCTGGTTGCTCCATCTGACAGGTTGCGCCCCCTGACTTTTCAGACTAATTTCAGATTAAACAGCCATCTTCTTAGAAACGTTTGTCCTTCAATTTGAGTTTACACTTAAATTTTTTGAAATAAACATTATTATAGCAATTGCACAATATATATGGTTGGACAGCTGCACTGCCTGACATTTTTAGATGTCTGGAGGCAAAAAGAAACTAAAATAAATTTTATATGGATGGACTGAAAATAGTTTCACATAGAAGAAGTATTGTTGAATAATTCGATATGTCATGTATTATTAATTATTTTTGGCCACAATATTATAGGTAAAGATTAAAATATTCACACTGCTTTGCTGTGAATAAATACCTTATTTTGCAGATCACAACTAATCCTCGTTCAGATTTGCAGGAGGTTAACACTACAGCAGCCAACAAAATCACTTTAAATAAAACTGTTGACCAGTCTGGTGACCGCAGCTACTTCACACATACATCAACATCAAATTTTCTGTGAAGGCTTGATCTCATCTCAGCAACAGCCCTCTGACCACTACAGCATATTTACCTCTGCAAGGTCCTCAGGAGGGCTCACAAGATCATCAGCGACAAAACTCACCCTCAACACCACCTCTTAACTCTGCACCATCAGGCAGACAACACAGTAGTGTGAAATCACAGACCACCAGGTCACAGAACAGTTTTACCCCAGAACAGAAACAGTGACTGTTTTTTAAACCGAACATCTGCTGATATTGAGCATCGATAAACAAAAGTAACAATGTGATGCAGCAGTCTCACTGATGTCCTCACTCACCTCTGAACATGAACCAGAACCATACTGAGCACACAGAACCGAGCAGAACCCTCACAACACCATTCAGATCCAGAACTTGGGCTGAAAGAAAAATTGTTTTTATATCAAAATTGCAATTTTCAAATTGCATGAGCTGCAATTTTTATCATAGAATACAAGATCGGCGATGTTGTCTTAAATTTTAAATGGAGAAAATGTAACCTAATAACACAGAGCCTGTAGATGAGCTGGACCAATCAGAAGCTAGAAAACACCCTTGTTCTGTATATGTGACATCACAACCACAACTAACTGGTAGTCTGAGGCAGTCAGCGTTCAAGCTTCACACCAGAAAAAGTGAATATTCTGGTTTTCTTGGTGAAAAAAAAATAAATAAAATAAAACAGGGCTGAAAATTAATTTAAAGAAAATTATTACATTCTTATAGCATCCACAGTATTGGTCAGAAAAATCGCAATATTTTCCCCAAATTGTTCAGCTCTATCCAGAACAGAGGTTATTAATATAAACCCACAGATAGAAATATGTCTCTATAATATGTTTGTTTATGTTATGCTTATATATATATATAATGTTTAGACAATAAGCACATAACTGTAAGAGTGGTGTCTGTGAAAGCTGTGCTGTGCAGTGAACCATCTTCGTCTGTGTGAGTTACAGCAGAGTAGCATTGACAGTGAACTCTGATCAATCTGGAGCTTGAAATCTGCTGTTGGACATCAAAGCTGTCTGACCACATCAGCAGCTTCAACTGCAACCTGAGACTCTGAGAGCTGAGGGTCAGAAACACTGATACTGCAGGACATTTTCACAACACGCAATATACATCACGATTTAGTTCTTCTGAGATTCAATAAGCTGGAACGGACAAAATAAAACCACATATAAAACACTACATTAATAATAATAAACCTACAACCACTGTTTCCTATTCAGTGTTTCACAAACTGCCCTGAATCCAGATAAACCCTCTGAGGTCTGAGGGTCTTGATAGAAGCGTCTCTGTATGATTTCCAAAATAAAAGTACTCTACGCCCGGCTGTCAGGACAATATCAGATTGGAATATGATGGTATTTTATCGTTATTGTGCTAAAGTATATTAATAGAGCTTCACGATAAATCATATTTTTAATGGTTATAAGAGTTTACATGATAAACACATCATTAGGGAGGTGATGACAGAACAGATCTGATGACCTCATACACACAGCGCCAGAGAGATGTCATTACTTGACAGCACAAGCCATTACAACTAACTTAGAACACGGCGCAGCACTACACTCAACAAAAAGCATAAACACTGGTTCTCGGTGTTTGTGCTTTTCTTACCGAACAAATGAATCCCAGAAATTTCTTTTTAAAACACACTTACACAGTTTTCATGAAGATACTGACATTCACCAGTGTTTTCTTATCTGGGATTCGTTTGTTCGGTAAGAACAGAATCTACACACACTCAAGAGCACAAAGGTGAGAACAGTTCTGTGCTTTAGAACACGTCGTGTTCTTAATCTGATGTAGCCTTTTTCTTAGGACCTTTCTCAAGAATTCATTAAAGAATAAACTTGAGGCCCAACATTATTTTATATCAGACAGCTTTATCAAACATTGCATTTTATGTCAATATTGTGCCTCCTGATGTTACAGTACACTTTTCTGATCATATATTGGATATCGTCAGAATTTAAAGAACACTCATTCACTACACAATTCATTAAAGAGAGAGAAGAATTAGGCCTGTTTAACTGGATTTAGTGCAGCTTGTAAATAAAACAATGATAATTGTTGCATTTGCAGGTTTTTTATCATTATTATTATTATTTGTTATTTGACATCATAAATTCTATTTTGTCTGTTCCAGCTTAGAACAACTAAATGTTGTCCTGCATGTCATGTGTGGTGAAAAATGTCTTGAGGTATGGTGATATATCACTCACCCCTAGTGAAATGCATCTTGGGTACTGTAGTGAGAGAACACTGCTACACGAAAACAGTATAAAATCATGAATTCTGTGAAACGGAGGGATATAACGCTGTACTAATGAAGACTGCAGTACATTGCAAACAACCTACTAAACTCTAGTTTTAGGGTGGACTTCCCCTTTAATGCCCTCATGGTCAGAAATGACCCTGCTGGTGTGAACAGGGGGTTTATATCTGCTGTAATCCCCCCACACTGCACAGTAACGATGAAGGCCGAACGCAGCGGAGCTCAAAGAGAGATCTGCTCACAGCAGAACCAGGTTTGGGTTTTAATGCATTTCAGAATGTTCTACACCACGAACACGAGGCTGAGTCTGACAGCATATCGTAGATCGGTCATATATCAGTAACATTATCAATAATACTAATATTAATATTAATAATATTACTGCCCGTTAAACAGTGAGCAGCGCGTGCTGAGCTCTTCAGTGTGAAGCCGCGCGAGCTGAGGGCGGTGATTCAGCACACAAAGCCCTCACTGATGATGAAAGCGCTGGGTTCCTCTGGGTTCTGTTAGGTTTCTCTGGGTTCTGATGGACCCATGAGGTGGAGGGTAGAGACAGACGGGTGCCGAGCCCTGCCCTCCCCGCCCCTGCCCCCCCAGCACCGCGTCTGGACCCCCTGATTCGATCATAAAATGCTCGAGGCTGCGTGTGAAGCTGGAGGAGAACCGCGCTCAGGTGCTGCTGATGAAACGAGGCTGATCCTCATTCGAATCTCCACCTTAAATGGCGCAGCGGTTACATTCTGCTACATTCAGTCGCCTGAGGCGTGATAATAATAGCAGCTGCGCCATTTAAGGTGGAACGGGAGATTCGAACGAGAAGCCAGCGTCAGCCTCGCGGTGCTCGTGATGATGATGATGATGATGTCCAGCTGATGGCGGACTGGCTGTCAGCGGCTGAGCGCTGTTCGCTCCCCCCAGCGCTGCTCCGCAGCAGCAGGATGATGATGGAGCACCAGCGCTTCCAAAGCCTTATAGGAACCCGCTGATGGCCCACCAGCCCGAGACCGAACACCTACCTACTGACCCGTCAGCGCGCGCGGCCTCCGTTCATCCTCGAGCAGCTCGGAGTCAGACAGCAGCTCCACCCTGCAGACACGAGCTGAGCTCACAGCGTCTGATCCTCACTCACATCCGCACAGCAGCGTCACCTGCAGACCAGCCGCGCCACAGCACCCTGACTACAGACTCACGCTCTCTTTCTCTCTCTCTCTCTCACTCACACACACACACACACACACACTCATATACAGTACATATAAAAATGTAGTGGCTGTATATATATATATATATATATATATATATATATATATATATATATATATATATATATATATATATATATATATGAATACTATACTGTCAAAAGTATTAGGACATCTACACATTTCACCTACAGTAGCTTTTAATGAATCCATTTTCTAAATCCATAGGCATTAATATTGGTCCCTCTTTGCAGTTATAACAGCTTCCACTCTTCTGGGAAGCTTTCTACAAGATTTTGGAGTGTCTGTGGGAATTTCTGCCCATTCATCCAAAAGAGCATTTGTGAGATCAGACACTGATGTTGGACGAGAGGGCCTGGCTCGCAATCTCCGTTCCAGTTCATCCCAAAGGTGTTGGATGGGGTTGAGGTCAGGGCTCTGTGAGGGCCAGTTAAGTTCTTCCACACCAAACTCACCCAGCCATGCCTTTAAGGAGCTTGCTTTGTGCACTGGGGCTCAGTCATGCTGGAACAGAAAAGGGTCTTCCCCAAACTGTTCCAAACAAAGTTGGAGCATACAGTTGTTCAAAATGTCTTGGTCTGCTGAAACATTAAGATTTCTCTTCACTGGAACTAAGGGTCCTAGGCCAACCCCTTAAAAAACAACCCCATAGCATTATCCCTCCTCCACCAAACTTTACAGTTGGCACAATGCAGTCAGGCAGGTAACATTCTCTTGGCATTCGCCAAACCCAGACTCGTCCGTCAAACTGCCACATAGTGAAGTCTGATGCGTCACTCCACAAAATATGTTTCCACTACTTCAGAGTCCAGTGGCAGCGTGCTTTACACGATTCCATCCAACGCTTGGCATTGTGCTTGCTGATATAAGGTTTGCATGCAGCTGCTCGGCCATGGAAACTCATGCCATGAAGATCCTAGCGCTCAGTTTTTGTGCTGATGTTAAAGCCAGAGGAGGTTTGAACTCTGCAGTTACTAAGTGAACAGAGCATTGATGACTTTTATCAGCACTCGGCGACCCCGCACTGTAACTTTATGTGGTCTTACACTTTGTGGCTGAGTTGCTGTGGATCCTAAACGCTTCCACTTTTCAATAATACCACTCACAGCTGATCGTGGAATATCTAGGTGGAAAGAAATTTCACAAACTGACTTTTTGCAACGCTGGCATCCTATTACAGCGCCATGCTCAAAAATTCAGTGAGCTCTGTAGAACGACCCATTCTTTCACAAACGTGTGTAAAAGCAGACTGCACGGCTAAGTGCTTGATGTTATACACCTGTGGTGATGAGACTGAATGAAACCTGAAATCAATGATTAAGATGTGTGTCCTAATACTTTTGCTCATATAATGTATATACATACATACAAACATACATGAACCTCCTTACAGGACAAACAGATCTTCATATAAACGTAATGCTTATGTTTATAATAATACTGCTGCTCCTAATACTAATTATATTAATGATATAATTAATAATGACTTAAATTAAATAAACATCTGTTACCTGTTACTGTTTATAAAAAAAATCAAAGTCTAATCAAATCAAAGAGTGTGGGGTCATTGAGAGAACTAGTAATTAGCAGAACTGTTTACCATGTTGAGATACAGGCCGCTTTTCCACTATCGAGCCAAATGGTTCTCAGGGCCGTACTGGGCCGTTCCGCGCTGGTCCGGACTCGCGAGACTGGTTACGGTTTCTGTTTCCATTTATTGTACTGCTAAATTAGAGCCAGTCAATACCCAAAAATACACAAATGAGTGGCTAACTGCTAACAGGCTAATAGCCATGCACACCACCCACCATAAAACACGTTCGATTCCATCTGTCACTCCAACTCCAGTCTCCCGGCGTGCTCTCATCTGCTTTATTCTCTAAACAGGTGGTATTTGAGCATCTGTTACTAAAACAGCCTATACTGCGGTGGGTTTCACCTGTAGCCGGATAACTAGCCACATTAGCTTTAGCGTCACCCGGCAGGGTAAAGCTCAAAGCACCACAGAACAATTCTGTTTTTATCTTTCTGTCACTTCAACACCGGTCATTCGAAATTGTGCTCATAGATACGAGTCTTTATCCTCCAAACAGGTGTTCGCTGAATCGAGCCCGTACTGCAGTGGGAGGCACCGTGCACTCACGTTAGCTTAGGGTGTTTTCACACTTGGGCCGTTTCAGCGTCTGAAGTGGACTCAGACCGCTGAGTCATGGTTTCTTTTGCATATGTGAACACGCCAAACGAACTCAGACCCCCCTAAACGGCCCCAAAAACGAACCGGTTCGTTTGTAGTTCGTTTTGTGGTTCGATTAATTTGTGCATTGTGAAAACAAAACGGCCCCAGTCCGCTTTAGCTTTGCTTTATGGTGAAGACCTCGATGCTCGCCGTACACACAGCCACAGTCTTCACTTCAGCAGGTAAAACAGACCAAGGATCATTATGAGGTTCTGCTCAGGATAAAGTCTGTCTGTGATCTGAGACAGACAGCAGCGCTGACTTATTAAAGCGATCAGATGAGAGCTCGCGTGATTTTACCGTGTTAAAGGCTCGAGCTGGGCACGCAGCGCAGTTTACACCTGCTTTCACTCTGAACGCTGAATGAATGAAAATTCGCCGAGTGGAGCTTCAGTGAGGAGCACAGTCGAACACGCAGCCCACCGCGGCAGACCCGCAGGGCCGTGTTTCCAATTTTGCGCGATGGACTTCGGCCAATCGTTTCAGCGCGGCCAATAGGAGAGCAGCAGGCGGGTCTGGCGGTTCTTCTCGTCACCTGATAGGTCAGAGAACGCGGCCCACTTGGCGAGCGCTGTGCACGCCGTGAGTGCTGTGAAAGGGGTACGAGTTCTAATGGAGTTGTGGTCTGAACAAGAAGTGGTCCGAGATCTCAACGGACCAGAAAGAAGACTTACATTGTGAACACAAAAAGAACTGAGGTCACTTGCAGTTGGTTCCCTTCCAGATTCACTTTAACAGAACTCGGTTCGGTTCTTTTAAAACTAACTATATGTGAAAACACTGTTAGCCTACCAGGCTACAGCTTAAAGCAGTACAGAATAGGTTCGATTTCGGCTTTCTGTCACTCCAACACAGATCAGCTGACTTTGCTCTCGCTGTTTATTGTCTATGCTTGTGATATTAGAGCACCAGTTAGTCAAGTCGAACCTGCACTGGGGTGTTTGGATCTCTTCAACTATGCTAACTTAGCCAGGAGAGAGGAGCTGGCTAGCATTAGGTTAGTTAGGTTAGTTAGCTAGGCTACAGCTCCAGACACCAGAGAACAGGTTTAATTTCGTCTTTCTGTCCCTTTAATATCGACCGCTGAACTTTGCTTCCTGAGGGTTTAGTCATTATCATATGAACTTGTGTCAGTAAAGCTTTTGTTAGTCAGAGGTGTTCTTAAGAAACTGGTGTTAAATTGAGGCTTTGACGTTTATTGAATGGTGGGTTTAAAATCGTGCACTGTTTTCAATTATTTGCCGCCCAGCTGAGCAAACGTAACTTATTTGTTTTCACGTTTGAAATATCGCAGCAGAATGCGGTGGCACAATACCGACATAAACATAGAACTAATCAACGAATAACTACGTCGTTACGTCATCCCCCCGAACGGTTCTGTGGGCCCAGAGTACGGTTAGCTAAAACGGGCTCAGCGTTCCGTGTCGAACCGTGTCCGTGTGGAAACGCCACTGGAACGGTTACCCTCTGTGCTCAGAACCATTCGACCCTGCAGTGGAACAGAGACCACAGAGAGGAGAGTAAAAGGTCCAAACAGAATCAGTGACTGTATTGAAGTCTCACTCAGTTAAATGTACCTGAGTGACAGTATCTGCATTTAAACGCAATGAAAAATAAAAAAAAGTAACATTAAATGTTGTAACACTGTTGTTCACCATCATAGACCCTCAACAGACACCACCGTAATTACTCACTACTGCTCAAAACTTTTAGAACAGCCCAAATCTTCCAGTTTTATTCATGCTTACCCAGTTCAGTCCAGCGAATGGAACAAAAGGTAAGCAGTAAACCACCAGATGTTATTGATAAAATGAGAAAATATTGTAAATTTCAGAATTTTTACAGCTGATCTGCAGCAATGGAAGTAAATTAAGCTTTAAAAGTTGATGCAAATAATTTCTACAGGCGTCCCAACTTCTGTCGATCACTGACTGACCCTGTGTATAACAGAAGTGTCAGACGGAGTCACTGCACCGTCAGGGCAGAGCATGGACAGCATGATACTGCTGTTATAATGACGAGAAAAAGGAATTTAACTAAGGAGAGCAGAAAGACTGTTACAACCCTAAAATCATAGATCTTCCCTTCAGCCTGTCAGTGAGCACACAGCACAAAAACACCATCTTTCAGAGTAAAGTTATCTTAAATCTAGTGGACATGTCTAATTTGTCCTCTTTTTGAGATTGTTTTAAGCGTATTGTAAGATTAACTTATTTCTAAACATTATCTTTATTTATTTTTTTAAGTAAAATGATCTCACTATATTGCCAGATAATTTTGCTTGAAACAAACAAAATGATCAGCCAAAACAAACAATGAACAGTCATTAATGAATATTAATGACTATTAATAACTACTGAGGACTGTTAAACAGTGAACAGTGAATGTCTCCGTGTTGTCCAGGCTGTTGAGGTCCAGCAGTGCGCTCAGAGGTCAGGGTGGATCTTCGCTCTGTTTCTCCTCCTGAAACATAGAAAACTCAAACAGGTTCCATGCAGATCCCTCTGAGTGGGTTCTGTGAGTCTATGCAGGTGTGTGTGGAGCACAAGTGAGTCTGTCCAGGTGTGTGTGGAGCACAGGTGAGTCTCTCTGAGAAACGAAACATGTTGACAGTGGTCAGTAAAACTGAGAGACGGACGGAGGAGAATCTTTAATAAAAAGCTTTTATTGGTGAATGCTGGTGTTTCTGTTATTCTGTCCTACAGTCTACTCTCACTGACCGATTACAATAAATTAAAATCTGACAGAAACCCCCTCCCCCCCACCCCCCAGAGCAGCACAGAGTTTATAAACAATGACAACAACAACAGTAACGCTGACAGTGTGGCTGAGATTTAAAGAGAATATAGAAAATAAAAAATGTACAAAACTGGAGAATAAAGACAAACAGATTTACATTCAGCTGCTCTGAATCTCTTGTCACCTCAGAGAGGAGCGCTCACTCTGACTCAGATATGTGGGTTTATTTTGTGTTTATTTGAGAAATGTTTATTAATGTGGATCTGAACTGAACTGTGTTCATTATTTAGGAATCATTTACACTGACAGTCTGTAATTCAACTGCAAACAGCAAATTCTGACCTTAAATCCTCACAGAGAGAACAGTAATGAATGAATTCTGTCTCTAAAACCCTCAGAAACGTTTATATTGTGATATTTATAAATCATGAATGCGTTGTTTGCATTTTTTTTTAGATATTCTCACATATACACCATTAAAAACATTAAAAATTGATATTTCAGTAAAAGTTCAGTTTTCCGTTCTACAGTTTAATTACCGAAAGTTCTGTAAAAACGGCAATAAAACTGTTTACAGCTGTTTATCTGGGCAGTAAAACACTTTCATCAAAATAAATACAAATAAACATAAATACAGGAGTCAGAATGTGTTTCTTTCAGTGAAGTTATGAATAAAAGTTTTCATGTTGATATATTTCCTCTATTTCCATTTTAAAATCAATGAGACAGATTTCAGGTTTTATTTACGTTTTTACACAAGTTTAAATACACTGAGTTTTGGTGGCATTGCCTTTTAACTGATTCTTGAGGTCGTTTCCATGAGGTTCTCCTTACATTTTTGCGTGTTCCTCCTGAAAGAAGAGCTGTAGCGCAGTCAGGTTTGTGGGTCTTCTTGCTTGGAGACGCTTTCTCAGTTCAGTCCACAGGTTTTCTGTGGGATCCAGGTCAGGACTTTCTGATGGTCACTCCAAAACTTTCACTTTGTCACCTTTAAACTATTCTGGCTGATGTTTTGAGGTGCTGCTTGAATATTTCTAGATAGCCCTCCTTCATCAAGATGCTTAAAGTGCTCCAGTCCCTTTGTCCACCAAAACACCCCCCAACAAAATGATGCTGACACCACCATGCTTCACATATATGATTGTGTTCGATTAAAAGCTTCATCTGCACACAGCTCTGATCTTTACGGTCAAACAGTTCCTCCAAAAGGCCCGGCATTTGTCCTGGTGATCACCTGCAAACTTCAGTCTGGCTTTTTTATGCTAGTCTTGGAGTTGGAGCTTCTTCCAACAGTTCGTTTGTTTTGTCTTTGGGTTGAGCTGAACCTTTAGGATCAAAGTTTGTTCAGCTCTGAGAGTTAATCTGTTCCTGAACGATGCAGTATCTGTGTGACCCAAAGATTTTTCTATTTGCATACCACTTGTTTTTAAGTGCATGGAAATCTGGAAATAGTGAATTTAAGATGAAATTAATCCATATCTAATTGATTGTTTTAAAATAACCTCTGATGTAACACAGCAGATGCTCTAACTGACCTGACACAGGAAATGTGTGGAGTTTGTGCTTGTGTTTGTGCGTTTGGATGTCTTTAGTCTTGGGGGTATGAGGTCCATCAGCAGCACCGGCTTTAATTTAATGAAGTATTGATTAGATAGAGCAGGTACTGGATGGTAACTGTAAATACTGGAGTTTCTTGAGGAGAACTTTGGACATTGATCAGCTTATGCGTGTTTATTCTAATGTTAATTTGTTTTTGAACATATAAACTCTCACTGTCCAGATAAACAGCTCTACAGGTCGTATCCTCAGATGGTCTGAGACTTCAGTACTGTGAGAGGTCTAACCTGCTCTGTGTGGTTCTGTGTGTCCAGATTAAAGAACAGTTCCAACTGCAGGATTTATGATTCCGGACCACAGCAGTGTTCTCTAATCTGACCTCTTTGCTGTATTTCTATCTGTAGCGTTGGTCAGTTTCCACTGAGTTTAATTTTCTTGAACTTATCAAAGAACAGAAGACTCGCTGTCTCAGCACTCACTGATTAGAGCGGCCGCTGAATTCTGTGAATAAACACTAGGAAAACAAACTGAACACAAAATGTGAAACTCCAGCTGTTCTTCTCTAACAGTGCAGATGTTCAGACTGACATTTATTTTATCAAATATCAATGAATTTATACATTTATAAAAGTGTTCCACAGAAACAAATTAGCATAAACGTTTACTAACCGTTCAGCGTCTGCCCACTGACCTCTACAGTGAGTCTATAAGTGAGTTTATAAGTGGGTTTAAAGGTGAGATTATAAGTGGGTTTTGTGTTCCTTTATAAGATGAGAAAGACGGTGCCGTCACTGTCTGACTGTTCTCTACAGATACAGCAGGAGGAGATCAGGATGGAGAGCTCACTGACCTCCACAGTGAGATTATAAGTTTTGTGTTGCTTTATAATGAACACACACACACAGATCAGGATGGAGAACTCTGGCGGCTCCTCTGAGCGCTCGGCTCCTCACGGCCACATATCAGATCTGTAATCAGGTAAGAGAATGTTAACGTGGGCTCTGATAAACAATCAAACTGATAATCATGTTCTGCCAGCAGACGGGAACAGTGACGGAACAGTGATGGATGCGCTGCTGAGAACCTCAGTTTATGTGGCTTCATTAGTTTTTCAGGTAAATTTTTCTCCTCACAGTCCTGAATGATTCAAAGCATCTGGAGCACATCTGGCTCAACCTGCTGTGACTGAATGGGACAGTTTTATAACCATACTGCACTTTGTGAGTGGAGAACTGTGAATGAATGAATGAATGACTGACTGAATGACTGATTTAATGAATAACTGACTTAATGATTAAATAACTGGCTGAATGACTGACTGAATGAAAGACTGAATTAATGAATAACTGAATGCATGACTGAATGAGTTTATGTATAACTCAATGACTGACTGACTGAAAGAAATTACTGAATGAATGACTGACAGAATGAATTAATAACTGAACGAATGACTGACTGACCGAATGAATAACTGAATAAATGACTGAATGAATGACTGAATTCACAGAGTGTTTAGTTCATCTTAAAGATCAAACAAAGATCAGTCACAGTGAGTCACACTGAGCTCTAAACCACACCCACAGTCTGCTCCACCTTCACGAAGACCTGGATGCAGGCCCACAGACATTTTGGGAAGTATTTACAGAAAAGATTTGAGTGATTATTGATTTCTAGTGTGAGCTAAATTGGAGTGAACACAGAACATGTGTCATCTGATTCTGATTATCCGCTGAATCGTTCCTGTAATAGCGTGTATGAAGCGGGTCTCAGTCAGAGGGGGGATCTTCAGGTCAGATGAAGCCAGAGAGGTGACAAGAGTGAACATCACACATTACAGAAAACAGAAAATAAAGAACAAAAGGAGAGAAACAGAGAAAAGAGCTCACAGATTCAGTCAGATTGACCACACTGACCACAGTCTCTGTCTCTCTGATGATGAACACACAGCTCTAATATTCAGCTGCACTGATCACGTTCATGTGCAGAGTGGTGCATTATGGGAGCTGATTCACTGACCCGGTCCGTCTGTGAGTGTGGGGGGGTGGTGGTCCATCCACAGTGCGTGTTATGCTGTTCCGCTGGCTGAGTATGAGAACTGGGGGAAATGGGGTCTCCTGTCACTGTCAAACGACTCCATACTTTCATCTAAACACAAGCAAACAACAACATGTGAGTCTCAGTTTCACCACAAGAGGGCGACATCCACATACAGACCCAGAATACATCTAACACAGTCTGCTCACACCACGCACCAAATCAGAACATAAAGGTCAGCTGTGCTCTCAATCAGCCAGCGGTTGAGTTGTTTTTTGTTCAGTTGCTGTTTTTGAACATAAAGTGTAAAAAAAAACCCTGATAAGGGGTTTAAAATGCTCTTCGATAAACACTGTGATAAAATACTACTAGTACTACTAATAATAATAATTATAATAATAGTATCTTCATTTATAGAGCATTTCTCCTAGCGGTGACAGCACAACATGCTTTTCAGACAGGTAACAAAGCTTAACAGTAAAAGAAAAAACACTGATTTAATTTAATGTTATTTATTCAGTCAAAATCATATAAAACTACAATGCGTGGATCATGATTATATGATTAAAAACTGAACCACACAAAGTGGTGAAGTTATCAATCTGAGAAGATCAGCTTAAAAACACCACCTAACATGAAGCAGAACAGCTTTTGTGTCATCCAGCTCACTGATAATAACAGCAGCATTACAAGAGTGTAATTTGTGAAAGTGTAAAAATTTTGTGGAACACACTGCAGACATGAAAACTAATCAGCACTGATAAAGGTGAGGAGTCCAGCAGCATCGCTCACAGCAGAACATTTTAGAAGAAAATTTATCCTCAGAGAAATACTGGAGACTAAAATACAGTGCAAATGACTGTAATTACTGAATTCGCTGTGTTCAAGAACTATGCAAACACAAGTCACGTCCATATACTGTACTGTTTTACAGTATTTTAATTATTTGTTGAAATTGTTGCTTACCTACAGCAAGGTCAAAAGGTCAATGTGGGTGAAATATCACTTGTAATGAGTGCAGTGCTTGGACCCCGATGATCGCAAATGGAATGATCAAGAAATCCAAATATGTGAAAATGAAACTGAACTTCAAAATGAATTTCACAGCAGGGGAAGCATGGCTTTCTTTTATTTTCAGCAATGAAATCGTAGCAAAATTTTTTTATATTTCACTTTCAGATCAATGAAAGTTTCTGTTTGTACAGTATGGTTAGTTAAATAACTAAGGTTTAGTACAGCATGACATAGTCATTCAGGGGCGGGGCTCTACAGCGTGATGTGTGGTCAGTACCTTGCCCTGGGGGGGTGATGGTGATGGTCTGTCCTGTAAACTCCACGTCAAAATACCGCGTATCTGTTTCTGACGTTACTTGGGGCTTGAAGGGTGGAGTGAGCTACAGAGAGAAAGAGAGAGATTCAAATACAAAAGCAGTGAATTATTTCTGGTGAGGTGTTTACTGCTGCAGTTGTGTGTTGTGTTCATGTTAGTGTCTCTGTGTGGAGCTGGAATTCTCTGTGAGAAAAATAATCAGTATCATTAGCCAACTGTGTTTGCACACAGAGGAATTAGACCTCTGCATTTAACCCATCCATGCAGTGAAACACCCACATACATGCAAGCTAGTGAACACACACTAGGGGGCAGTGAGCACACTTGCCCGGAGCGGTGGGCAGCCCTATCCATGGCACCCGGGGAGCAGCTGGGGGTTAGGTGCCTTGCTCAAGTCACTTCAGTCACATACTGTCAGCCAAGGGGATCAAACCGGCAACCTTCCGGTCACAAGACTGGTTCCCTAACCTCCAGCCCACGACTGCCCAGGAGGTGCACCGTTCCCGGAGGTACTGCAATACCAGGTTGATGCGTGGAGCGGATGGAGCAAGCTCCTCTTCCGTCTCCCTGTTCTAAAAATCAATTTAATATGTAGTCTTCATATAGAGGACGTATCAGATATTAAACTGATAAGAACAGATACTACACTTGATCTTAGCCAAAAGGCCGAGAAGTGATCCTAAAGTCCTAAAATGTCCTAAAGATTATACGTTTTGTTGTACGTGCATTTTTCCTCTGAATTACGAACACAGTAGGGAGCTGAAATCATCAGACTAACCGCACCAATACATCCTACATTGTCCTTTACCAGTGGACTATGTCCAGGGTGGGAGTTTAGAGGTGTTACCCTGCAGTGTGACGAGCTGCTGTTGGATTATAATAGCATATAACACTAGATTCACTTTCATGTGACTTCCATTCAGCGTGCACGCTATTAGCATGCACGTAGCATTATTCATATTTCAGCTTCTAATACGACAACGTAATTCAGAGGATCCTGTGAATTTCACAAATAAACACAACAGCTTTGGAACATCTGAATAGCAGAACCTTCTGTTCATTTTCCTCACAGAGAGAAACAGCTGAAACTCAGAGCTCCTAATATGGACACTGACTACAGAGATCTGAACACGCCATCACAGCTACACAGCACGGAGAATTAACAGTAATGATTGGAAATAAGGAAATCATAGCAGACAAACTTAATGCTCTATTAACAACAAGCAAACAAATACATAAATAAATTATAGCTATGACTTTCATTAAGCACCAAAAAAGTCTAGTAAAATAAACTAAAAAACACAAAACAAGGATATTCTGCCCCTGCTAAAATGTTGTAGTGCTCGTGCCTGCTAGCTCGGCAGATAGATAACAGGTTCCTCCAAGGAATTCCAAGAGAACCTCCTTAATTCATTTATGAAGCTTGAAGTAGACAGAGACTCGATAACTTCAATATGCACTGCTCTCATTCCCAAACAGGTGAATAGGATAGCCCAGCGTTTACTCTCTATTAGGCCTCCTCTAGTTCGTCGGGATCTGATGGTCCACGGTCCAAACACATCCACGCCGATATATGTGAATGGAGGATCTGGGGTAATTCTGTCAGGAGGTAAGTCGGACATTCTTTGCTCCTGCAGTTTTCCTCTTAAACATATGCAGACAACACACTTGTGTATGATGCTTGTCACAAGCCTTTTACCTCCAGTAATCCAAAGCCCTGCGGATCTGACAGCCCCTTCAGTGAAATGTCTACCCTAGTGAGAAACTCGTTCGTGATAGTGTCTGACAAGTAGAGTAGCGACGTGGTGATTTTTGGGAATGATTAGTGGATGTTTGTCTTCCCAGGACATTTCAGCAAAGGAAGACCGTCCTCCAATTTTCAACAGAGCATCGTCGTCCAGGATGGGGTTCAGCTTTCTTAAACTGCTGTGCTTTGATACTGCTTCCTTTATGGAAAGACACTCTCTTCTTTTATGTATTCTTGCTGTATGCTTCTGATTATCACTGTCTTTGCTTGTGTTAGCTCATCTGTAGTACTTGCATTTGTGTTAGGGCTTTTTGAGTAGGATCTGGCTCTTTGAACAAGCTTGGCTACAGCATGGATGAGGCCCTTCCAGCTTCAGAAACACTCCAATCTGTGTGAGCCGAGCTGACCTTCTGTTGGTCATGAAAGTGGTAACCTCTGGATGTACCTCAGCATCTGTGTCTGGCTCAACAAGATCGAAGGTCTCTGACTGCAGGGTGTCATCTATGCCATCTTTGGACAGGAATGCTGGACTGGAAATCCAGTTGGAACGCTTCAAGAGAGCAGCAGGTACAGGGCGTGTGCCAATGTCAGCAGGATTTTGTTCTGTACTGATGTACTGCCACTGTTCTGGATTAGTATTCTTCCTGATTTGGGTCACTCTTGTTGCCACATACACACAGAATCGTCTAGATGTGTTGTGTATATAGCCCAAGACAATTCTGCTGTCAGTGTAAAACTTCACTCTCTGAATCTCGACGCCTAATTCGTCTGTAATCAAGCCTGCAATTTCAACTGCTAAGACTGCAGCACAAAGCTTGAGGCAAAGGACAGTGTGGGCCAGGTGTGGAGCCAGCTTTTCGATTCACAGAGAAAGTAAAGCTGTCTGTCTGCAGGTTCCAAATGAGCCCTAAGCTACGCTATAGAGGTAAGTGGTCTACTCCTAATTCTAGGTCTTTCAGATCTTTAGATCTGTCTTCAGGAGGAAACGCTTCCATCACAATGTTACTGTTGGAGGCTTATGCAGTCGAATATTTGACTCTGCTAACGTTTCTATTGTCTTTTTCAGCACAGCGATTGCTTCAGGAAATGAGGCGAGTCCATCATCCACATAGAAATTCCTCATGATGAATTGCTTAGGCTCTGTCCTATATTCTTTCTTTCCCTGTAGAACAGCTCTCCTGAAGCCATATATGGACATGGCAGGAGAGGGGCTGTTCCTGAACACATAAACTTTCATGTGATATTCTGTGACTTTGTTTTCAGGATCATTACCTTCGAATGAAACAGTAGAACATCTGTTGTATATCTGCCGTTACCGCCACAGCTTCTTTGCGGAAGCGAAGGAGTACACCTAGTAGTGTATTGTTCATATCTGGTCCACTGAGAAGAACGTCATTAAGGGAGATACCATCATGCTTCACACTAGAGTCGAACACCACCTGTATCTGTTCTGGCTTCTGGGGGTGATAGACACCGAAAAAAGGTAAGTACCAATGCTCTTGATGTTTTTCAAGCGGTGGGGCTGGCTCAGCTTGATCTAAGTCGAACATAGTCTGCATGAATTTGAAAAAGTGTGCGTTTGGGTGATGGATTTCCTCTTAAGAGTGTGGCACAGTGATGAGAGACGCTTCACAGCCTGGTCTCTGTTGTTGGGGAGGTGACACGTGGGAGATCTAAAGGGTAACGGTGCCACCCAAGTATTTGATTCATCCATGTAGACTTCTCGGTTCATGATCTCAAGAAACACTTTATCATCTGCTGACATAGCTGGTTTGTCATCATGCAGTGTTCTTTTAAACACTTCACTGCCAAGGACGTCTGTTTCATCACTGAAAGTAATAATGTCTGTGGTGCTTGTGAAACTGTGGGGTGGCATAGCAATGTCAAGAGTCTCTTTAATGTGGATACTGTTGGTACAGGGTGTAAGAAAGGAGGTACATCCATTACTCATAATGGTGGTTCTGAATGAATTGATGCTGGATGGCTTGTGTGCTCCTCCAATGCACACTTCTCCGATAATCACCCATTCTAAGTCGAGACTTTGGGCGAAGGGTGCATTGTGAGGTCCGCTGCTCTCTAACTTTGTAAACTTGCAGTACGTCTCGTCCAAGGAGAAGGTGGATTCTACACTCCTTGCACTCTGTGTCTTGACACAATTTTTAGCAACATGACTGGTTGAAGCACAGCATCTGTAGCATATGTTCCTTTCCTTGAGGAAGGCTTGCCTCTCTTCTAAGGGTTTGTTTCTGAAACCACAACACTTCCGTAATGGGTGATGCTTGTTGTGAAAGGGACACTGCTTGTCAGGGTCATCAGATCTTTTCATTGCTGTATTACTGTGGTTAGACACAAAATTTACTGAAACTTCTGTTTTCCTTACAGCAACAGGTGTTCTGATGTTGGGTTTGAATGGTAGGCCATTCTCTATCTTGACTATGTTTGAGCCCCCATTCGTTACGCAGGTGAAACAGGGATCATTACGGGCCCTATCTTGATCACACACAAACTTAACAAAAAAAGGAGAAGGGAGGGTAAGTTGCCCTGTATTCGTCTTTGTAACAAGACCCTATGGTTATCCACTTTTCTTGTAAAAACAATGGGAGCTTCTGAACAATTTGAGCTACTCCACATGCGACACTGAGATAAGAAAGACCAGATAGGTGTCCTTCTGCCATAGCTGCATCGAGTTCTAAAAGAATATCTCCTAGTTCCCTTAGCTTATGCATATCTTTATTTGTGATTCTTGGAAACTGTTCCACTTTCCTGAGGAGGGCATCCTCTATCATTTCAGGCAAGCCATAGCAGTCCTCCAACCTCTGCCACACCATGCTGAGGCCAGCACCGGCATCGTGAACATATACTGCCCTTATTCTCTTAGCTTGCTCTGATGATGATGGTCCTAGCCATTTGCACAGCAGATGCACCTCACGAGCTGTGAGGTTCATGTCTTCATCTTTTAGAGTAGTGGAATGATGCTTTCCAGGCCTAGTAATTCTGTGGTTTGATCGTCAAACTTCAACAGACCTGAACTGACCATCTCTCATTGCATTAAGTACTTGGCTAGGTCTGATGTGGTTGACGAACTCGATGAGGGATTTCTGAGAGTAGCGATTGGATGGGGCTGGAAGGCTTGGAATTTGCTGCTGCAATGTTGTATGCTGTGTGGGTACTCTTTGTGGTCATGGTGTTCTTTCTTAAGTCCTGTAGTGTTAGTGTTGTGTGTGTTGATATCCTGTACGGATGTTTGCTGAGCAGGTAAGTTCAGAAACTCATGATTGCTGATTTCACTTGACTGCAAATCACTCTTCATCATGTAGCATCTGGGCACTGGGTTAAGTATAGTAGATGCTATACAATATCACTGGGATGCTGAATTTCACCAAGAGGCTGTGACATATTAGCTTTAACAGGTTGAAATTGTTCTCCAAACTGCTCTTTGTCAGCTGCTTCAGCTTCAGCTATAGCAGCTGCAGCACCCCTCTCTAACTGAAGTGTGAGCATATTTGCTTGAAGCTCTGTTTTCTTTCTGTCTGCTTGTGCTTAGAGCTGGGCGATATGGCCAAAAATGTTATCATGATAAACAAAATTCAAATTGTTCGATATCGATACATATCGTGATAAATGTCAAATCATTATTTCTTTCAAGTTTGAAGGCTGATTTTTGCTCCTGGGTGGTTAATTCTGTTTTAAACTATCCTTTATGGTCGGAACATGATAAACACTCACCAAACAGTGGAACATTTCACAAATCTGTCATGGGAGAAAATGTCTGGTGAGCCGTTTTTTTTCAGCTGGAAAAGCACAGCTGCAGTTTTTGTAATAGTCATAATTTAAGAAAGAAAAGATCATTTTTAGCTGTCTGGTGACGAGTGCTAGGCTATCTGGTTACAAATGCTAAACAAGTGGCCAACAACAGTGCTAAACTGTTTAGTTTCTCAACGTCAAGTTAGTACGAACAGCAAACGTCAGCTGGCTCGGTAGGTCAGTGATGGATCACAGCGCCTTACTGCCATCTCTCCTACCGCATCCATGTCAGAGCATATCACAGTATTCAAACACCAGCTAGCGACGACTGGATTTCTCTATTCTACCGCAGTAGTTTGACGGGTGAACTGCAGTATAGCTAACACCAGACAAACAGAGTCCTCCTTTTAGGTACGTTTAAACTGAAAGTGGTGCTTTTGTGTCTTGTTTGATCTACAGTATCATCAATTCGCTGTGTCGTGCGAGTGACGGAGCACTGTTTCAAAGTTAGCCAGCTGCTAAAAACAGCTAGCCTGGAAAGATAGCCAAAGAGGCCAAAATTTAACGACAAGAATGTTTACTTGCTTTGCAACACATATTATCAAGTAACTTTATACTTTGTACAAAGGATCTAGGATGTGAGAATGTATAAGAATCGTCATTAAAGTAACAGTGTTTAGCTTGATGCTAATATGAACGGAAATTCTCATAGACATGCTGACAAATTAGCGCAATTTTTTACATGAATTTACACACACACAACTTCACACACATCGCTATTTTTTCATAAGGAGGTACGTAAGAGAACTTGTTAAGAAAACAAAGATATATACGCACAGACATATGCCTTTCAATGGAAGTTTAACTTCTCTGTAGCATCGTACCCAAAGGCTGAACTACAGCAACTCTAAAGGTACAAACTTAATGCAAACTGCTATAAAAAATAACCACTAGAGGTTGCTCTTGGGTAACAGACAGCACAAAGGATCTGAACTAAATGAATAATTTGGAGGTCTGTTGGCTGTGCTATAGTTCCTCATTAGCAGCAGATCAACATAAATCTGAAACATCACTCACCTTCTTCTCATAAACGTCCTTCCACTCAATACCAGAGAAGAACTTATGCTGCATGATCTCTTTAGCGTCCTCAGGCCCGCCACCTAACCTGCAGCACAGAGACACCTGTTTACACACCTGTCCCATACACCCGTTTATATACCTGCTAATACACCTGCTTTTACACCTGCCAATGCACCTGCTTATACACCTGCTTATATACCTGCTTATACATCTGCTTATTGCTGTTGTCAAAAGAAAACCTTGTACCTCCATTTTTGTCGTTTTTCAGTTTTTGACATGTGAAAATGCCTGTTGCCTTTTACATTCTATATAAATTTCATGATGAATGGACTAAAAAAAAGACCCAAAATGACTTGGAAAAAATTCTGGTTCAGTTGACTTACATTAAAAGTAAAGTACGTTTTTTCCTTCTCCTGTAAAGTTCTTAATTTGGAGATATGAAGTTTTCTTCCAACAACAGCGTTATACACCTGTTTATACACCTTTCCTTACACCTGCTAATACACCCACTAACACACTTGCTTATACACCTGTTTGTACACCTGTATATCTGTTCACACTTAAGAATAGTGGAGGTGGGTTCAGAGTAGAGGAGGTGTGGTTTAGAGTATAAGTGGGTGTGTTTTACAATATAAGGGGGTGTGGTTTAGAGTATAGGGAAGTATGATTTAGAGTACAAGGGGTGTGGTTTAGAATATAAGGGGTGTGGTTTAGAATATAGGGGTTGTGGTTTAGAGTATAGGGAAGTATGATTTAGAGTATAAGGGGGTGCAGTTTAGAATATAAGGGGGTGTGGTTTAGAGTATAAGGGGGTGTGATTTGGAATATAAGGGTGTGTGTTTTAGAGTATAAGGGGTGTGGCTTTGAGTATGAGGGGTTGTGGTTTAGAGCCTTGAGCAGTGGTGTATACGGAGCTGACCGCTGCTTAGGGGTCTTTCTGTAGAAGTCCAGCGAGCAGAGCTTTGGCCTCGGGGCTGAGTGTTCGGGGGAAGCGGATCTCCTCCATCAGGATCAGCTCAAACAGCTTCTCGTGATCCTGATTGTAAAACGGCAGCCGACCGCACATCATCTCATACATCACCACCCCCAAACCCCACCAATCCACCGCTCGACCGTAATCGTTATCCTCCAGAACCTGGAAGACAAGCAGAGCCGTTCACTGCTGTAGCCTCGTCCACTCTGCAGGTGCAACAACATCGTGTGAGGTTCAGTACTAATTAGCATGTTATTTATCAAAAACATTAGCACCTATTAGCTACTGAGCACGTTCCACACTCTTAAAGCCATGCTGTCCTCACACTGTGATCAGACAGTGTCACACGCTATTGTTTTTTACTGTTACAGTGGTCGTTACCTCCGGAGCCAGGTACTCAGGAGTCCCACAGAACGTTTTCATCGTGGCTCCTTCTGTGATTCCCTCTTTACACAGGCCAAAGTCTGTGATCTTTATGTGTCCGTCTTTATCCAGCATCAGGTTTTCCAGCTGAGCAAACAAAAAGAGCGTCAAAAACTCTCCTCCAACAAGACTGTACACAGACAGTCGAGATACAACAGTGATCATTTTTAAATTAGCATCCTAATGCCAGCAGAATCACCTAAAACAGTAAGACTACAGCTCTTCAGCCACATTTCCTTCCCTGTAATTAACTGAATATGTTTCTTAACTCTAATGTACGTAAAATGCATAAACGATGATCATGGCTAACTGTGAAGGCTTAATTGAAATCTTGTCTTTTGTTCTTCATGCATAATGGTATGTGGAGTAATACATCACACTTCTTTTGTGAAAAACTGATTTTCTTTTAAAAAGTCATTAAAACAAAATTCGATTAATCTTTTCAGTGTAGCTTTTCATATAGGTTATTATTGTATACTGATTCATTTGTTGAGTATTGGACTTATTTTTGAGTGTTGGTTATTCTGTTTTTGTTTATGATACAGGACGGTTTTAAAGATGTTTTCTTTTGATTGCCACTGCTCCTGTATGGACCCCAGGTAGACTAGAGACCACTTTGTCAAAGCTATTGGTGATCCAAATAAAGAATAAAGAATACCTCTTACAAATACTTGAATATTAAATTAGTCAGAATGCACAGGTCTAAGCTTGAGAGGTACTGAAGAGACACAAACACACACCTTCAGGTCCCGATAAACCACCTTTTTCTCTGAGTGCAGGTAATCCAGAGCGGAGACGATCTCTGCCCCGTAGAAGCACGCTCTCTCTTCAGAAAACACTCGATCTCGAGATAAATGGAAGAAAAGCTGGAGAGAGAAGAGCAACAGTTCAAACTAGACAAACCAGACACATCTTCAGAAATCAACACACTGCAATTCACACAAGTAAATACTAAGAGAGTTTTCTCTAAAACTCAAATGGAAATGGATTAGTTTACTGACAGGAGGTAAAGACTGTATAAACTACACACACTGCAGATTCAGAGTGGATTAAAATTGCTGCACACTCTTGCCAGTAATCATTTTCAGAAACTACTGCAGCTCTGAAAGTGTTTCAACGTGATTACAGTGGAGTTATTTTACTCTGATATAAATTCAGTGTAATAATCATCAAATGAGCCACAGCAGCAACGCAGCTCACCTCCCCTCCATTAGCGTACTCCATAACGAAGCAGAGCCGGTCATTAGTCTGGAACGAGTGCTTCAGACCCTGAAGAACACATACAGACACTCTGCGTTAGAAACAACTCCTTTACTCTGTAAAGCAACATTTAAAATACAATGTAATAATTGTAATAATAATAATAATAATAATAATAATAATAATTAGAGATGTACTGATACAATATTTACCTTTCTAATATCAATACCTAGTTCTTAAATATATGCCGATACCCAGTACCGATAACCTAACTGACCTGTAAATCCTGATATTTATACAATTGCATTTAAAAAGAGCATTTACATGTTGGATTATATATATTTAATGCTTAAGAAAACCTTTGTTTCCTTTACCGTATATATGTAGTATTAAGTAAATATATAAGGAAATTATGATCATATTATATTACATAATTATTAATAAGAACCATGTTTAATGATGTAAGTAAATGTAAAATCTCTTAATTGTGCAAAACAGTTAAATACAGAGCTGAACAGTGTACAGATGAACCTGTGGTGTGATCACATCAGCACACAGCAGCTCCTCTGGCTCCAAATCAAAGCTGAATGTTCTTTCATTTCCGAATTTCTTGAGTCTGTCTAATTTTAATATTAACCTTTATTCATTTAGAACTTTTCTTACTGTAATACCATAATCTCCAAGTGCTTTACACACTTGAGAGATAAAAACACTGAGCCTGAAATTAAATTAACAGCAGATTTACAAACAATGATCCTCTGTATTTCTCAGCTTATGCTAATCTGAACACATTTGTCTTTAATTTAAAAAACACGTATCGAGCCTGAATCTTCCAGCAGCTGAGCTGGGGAAGTAATCTGGGTGGCTTCAGAGCTGAAATGTTTTTATTCTATTCAAATGATAGAGGAGTTAATGGTCTGAAGGGTCTCACCGTGAGGAACGGGTGTTTGGAGCCCTGCAGCACTCGGTTCTCTGTGAGTGTGTGAGCTACTTCATCCTGAAAATGAAGAACAACAACCGGCATAAACATCAGATTAGTAACCAGAAGCCCACAGAGAGTCGCAGTGAAAATAAACACTCACTTTAGCCACGATCACATCCTTCTTGAGGATCTTCATGGCGTAGTATTTACCGGTCGCTCTCTCCTTCACCAAAATCACCTTTCCAAACGTGCCTTTTCCCAGCAGCTTCAGGTATTCAAAGTCATGCATCGTCTACAGAGCACAAAGAGAATCACCTGAGCTTATTCGGATCACTGCAAACAAGCACATTAAAAGATTTTATTAACACTGTTTACATTCGGACTCATTTATTTCTCCCTGAGAAACACTGCGGCACAGCCAAATTCTGTTGATGTTTATAGCTCACAGTACGTCACATCGTACCTTATTCATCAACGCTGCATAAGACGTACAAACTGCTCCGTGTCTGATTCATGAATTCATATGAGAAACGAGAGAAGTTTTGAGCGCAGTCAGCTCAGTGCGTGAAATGAAGCGCAGCCTACCAGCACCTCATTTACATACCATTTAAATGAAGCATGATTTAATTCAGATTTTTCTGTAGAAGGCCAATACAATGACAGCCCTCAGCAGCCTATGAGCCAAAGGCAATGCAGGCAGGTGGAGTTTGAGGTGGAGTGGTGAGTGCACTCCTTCCCCTACTGACCAAACTATATAGTGTTAAAATTTTGACCACTGGAAAATTGTGAAAGAAACAAAACGTCCTAGTTTTTTAAGACGGTAGTGATGTGGTTGTGAGTATATTTGTCAAATATAGATTTAAACACTGTACAATTGCAGTGTATTACACTAACTGTGTTTTCTATCTTTATTTTGTGGGTGGAGTCAGCGGTATGAAATAAAAGCACAAGGTAATTTAATTAAATGTATTTTTAAATCGATGTGCATGTCAAATAAGCACAACTACTCTTGTACTGCACTGCCAAGTGCACAAATTATTATTTTTACTGTTGTTTCCTTTTTTCGTTCTTATTATTATAGATGATAGTAATAATAGTTTTGGTTAGTTAATAGTATTTGTGATCAGATCAGTGAACCAACTGATCTGACATCCTGAACAAAGCCAGGATGCCAATCACTAAATGAGGCTTTTTGTTTGCTGAACGGTGATGACGGGTGCACCAGCGCCGCCTACTGTGAGCGCCATCTTCACTGAGGTGTTGTATTGGTTTAGAAATTTCACAGTTTGTTCTCCCATAATTAGTCTACATTCCCACCAACAAAGGTCACATGGTTCACTTTCCAGAGGTTCTCATTATAAGATCTGGCCTTGTGAGACTACCACCATTACTGGGACCCCCCTCCTCTCCCCCCGACTGATGGGGACAGTCTGTACCACTCTGAGACGAGGTTTGGCCAGGCTCATCTCCGTATCTGTATCCATGGGAACAGACGAAGCCTCCATCCTCTCGTCCTCCTGCTTCTGCAGCCCATCAGCCACGGCCTGAATAGCCTTTGTCCACTCCTCCCTGACCAACAGGACACAGAACACTCAGTGGGTCATCACACCTCTCATTGTGGAGCTTTAGCATTTTATTTTAGACTAAAAGAGAAGAAGAGCATCGTACAAACATCAGTTACTGTACAGCTTCTCATTTAAACTTTCCGTTCCACAGTAGATTTGGATTAATTACAGGATTAAAATGGAAATTTCAATCCAGTATGAATCTGCAGCATGTATAGGTTTTACAGTCTGACAGTAATAATTGTGGAGCGATTTTAATCCGGTATGAATCTGCAGTGTGTCTAATTTTACAGTCTGATGGTAATAATTGTGGAGTGATTTAATCCAGTATGAATCTGCAGTGTGTGTAGTTTTTAGAGTCTGACGTTAGTAGTTGTGGAGCGATTTGAATCCTGTATGAATCTGCAGTGTGTGTAGTTTTTAGAGTCTGACGTTAGTAGTTGTGGAGCGATTTGAATCCTGTATGAATCTGCAGTGTGTTCCAACACAAGGTGGAATGGGAAGTTTGAATGAGACGCATGTTACAGCTTCGTAGTTCCAGCACTGACAGAGGTCAATGTTCTCCACTGCAGCTCCTCCTAGAATTCTGAGTTTCTACTCAACCTTCTCAGTCTGTGTACCTCTCTTCAGGAGTTTCCACATGAAACGTGCGCTCGATCACCGTGGTCCACTGCAGGCAGCGGATGATGAAGGTGTTCGGCTTGGGTCTCTCTGTCTTCATCAGCTGACATTCTGTACAAACAAAAATATGTTTAATTAACTCACATTAATCAATCAGACCTTTTAAAATAGACTTTTTAAATAAACAAGTAAATATGTCGAAACAAAGAGATAAAAAAATGAAGTACAACTCTGATCTGTCAATATACAGCATGTAAAATATATAATTACGTACATAATTGTGTTGTATATATAGTTTATAACTCTTGTACAGATATACAGTACTGACCATACGCACCCTCGTATATTCAATTACCAGTCTAAACAGCCACTAAGTACAAGCTAATGATTTTCAGGAGAAGTTTGTGAGGAGATGAGATATAAGATGATCAACATGCACGATGAAGGTGAATGTCAAAGTAAAAGTGATAAGTAACTTTCAGTTACTATTTTAAAAAAACTGATTAAAAGCTACAGAGAAAATGGGGCTCCTATCAACCACCTGGAAGACCTAGCAGACACCAAAACTGCCCCCATCAGATAAACAGCACTTAAAGCTTTCATCTTTGAGAGAGAGGAGAAAATCAAGCTGCTTCAGATCTGAAAACATCCACAGGTGTTTCTGTCCATCTTTCCAGCTGTCAAGAAGCCTCACTGAGAAAAGGAGACAGGCACATCAAACAAAGAAGCTGACCAATGGACTGACCACCCCAGAGTCCAGACCTCAACATCACTGAATGTGTTGGGAGACTCATTTTCAATTTCTTTGAGAAACTGAAAATGAGTCTTCTGAAAAGAATGGAAGCTGTAATAAAGGTAAAGAGTGACTCACTGAACACCCAAGCAGCTGAGATTAGATTTAGCTGTTGAGGGTTCTGGGTAATTGTTTGTGTTTCCTGGTGCTGAAAAATCAATAACTTGTACTCAGAGGCTGCTTTTAGTAGACAGTAAATAAACGAAGGGGGTCTGAATTTTGTGCTGTACAGAGAAACATCAGGCAGTAAGGCAGTAAACTCTCATGTTCTCTTTAACTCGGAGAAGAACCGTTCCGTACGTGCCACTGAGAAGTTATTGAGCGGAGTCTCCAGCTGGTCCACGTCCTGCGGCCGTTCTTTGTATCCGATAAATGTCCCGTCGCTCTTCAACAGGAAATATCTCGGCCTCCACGTCTTTATGTACTCACCTAAAAACACATGAACTGTCAGTTAATCACACCAGAACTCAGTCCACTGATGGTCATCCACACAAACACTCTCACTCTTTTAAGGCTCCTTAAGGCCTAGTCATTTGGTTCTAGGTAAAAACACAGTCCAGCGTGGTTTGGCAAGTTACCTGCTCAAGCTCCACTGATCCAGCCTGGTTCTGTTTATGAGCAGGTTTGTTAGAACCGATCACTCATACAGAACCTTTACATTATCTTTAAACTTTAGTTTCTTCACACGGCATGTGGAACAGAACACTTTTAGCACCTTTAGCACTTGTAAGAATGCAGAGATAATAAACAGAATTGATCAAAATCACAAATATGCTCCAGTGAAACTCTGAGTCACAAACAAAACTCTAAATATTTAATAAAGAAATCAGATACAGAAAGTTAAAATTAAATATTTAGCATTTGATATTTTTGCACTCAGTACAAATATTTTGCATGCTAATAAGGCCATAATATTCTACACAATATTTAATAACATGAACTTTCTCTTACAGTACACACTTTGAGTGTGACTAATCAAAATGAGTTAATATTTATTATTATTTTTATTATTATTATCACTGCACACAGCAGTTAAGCTAAATATTCATTATTACAAAACAGTTCAAAGAGAGTTTTAAGAAGTTTTTCAGGTTTTTACAGATTTTATATAGACTGTCAGAACTGAACATCACATCTTTTTAAAGATTTTAAACTTTTAATGAAGATTAATGTTTAAATATTTGATTCTACATTATTTTCAATCATTTCTATTGGTCTATTAATCACAAAATTTTCAACTAGTGTTAAAATATTTCACTAAAAATGTGTAAAAATGTTAAAAATTATTATTTACATAAATGTATCAGAACATTATAATTTAAAGATATTATATAACAAAGATAATATTATTGATATGATCATATCAGTACAGTTTACTTTAGAGATTAATAATGTAACTGATTTGACTGTCAGTACAGTTTAAAGATTTTAAATTATTTTACATGATTAATACAATCATCTTTAATTTAAACATTAATATGATTTATCAGTACAGTTTTGATATTAATAAAGTTATTGATGTGACGCATTCATAGTTTAAAAAAACAGCTTAGTAATATTAATGATACATTCCTATTTAATGTTTAATAAAAAAAATAAATGTTCCTCATATGATCATATCAGTGCATGTTGATTTATAGATTAATAATGTTGCTACAATATGATATTATAATTTCAGTGCAGTTTAATTTACAGATTCATGTTATTGATACAATCGTATTTAATTTCAATTTATCAGTTTAAAGATTATTGTTGTGATTGTATTCATAGAGTTCAGGTTATAGATGAGTAACGTTACTGATATGATTGTATCAGTACAGTTTAAAAATGAATAATGTTATTGATACAATGATATTTAATTTGGGTGTACAGTGGTTAAAGTAAGCATGCGGTGGTGTAGTCTGCTGAGTGATGATGATGCTGGTCTTATCGCTGTTCTGAGTGCTGACGTGTGCTGTTTGTTGAAAAGCTAACGGCGGCGGCGGCGGCAGCGGGTGTTTTCCTGCTGGGGGGAATTACCCTCCGCTGACCTGAATGAATGTGCTTTCACGTAAACAGCGCAGGGACATCCCTGAGTCACAGCGAGAACACCAGCAGAACTTTCCACCAGCACAACTGACTCGAATCAGTCAGCGGCGTACGGTCAGCAGATTTAACCCCATCACAGTCACTGTGACCGAGAAGAACGCTGCAGAACTTGCTCCGACCGGAGCGAAGAGCTGAAATCACGTAGAGTTACACTTTACATCAACATCCAACTGAAACCAGCTGAACTATCTAAACTGCAGTACATGCAATTTTCATACTTTTATTCACAACTGAATTTTGTACACTACAACCCCAAATAAGAAATAGTTGTGAATTCTGTTAAATTAAAATTAAAACTGAAAACAGTGATTTGTAAATTATTTTTGACCTGTGTAACATTGAAAACAAAACAATAGCACATTATTTGATGTTTTACATCAAGAATGTTCTTGTTTTTCAAAGTTAACCCTTCTTTCAATTTTGATTCATTTCAAAAAGGTTGGGACAGTGTAGCTTTAACCACTCTGTAATGCTGCTGCTCCTTTAAACAGCACATAAAAGACACTTAAGGACTAAAGATGCGGACTAATGAAGCGTTTTCAGGTTCCTGTCTTCCTGCAAGAAAGTTTTAAGGTGTGCAGCAGTTCGGGGTCTTCGCTGTCACATTCTGCAGTTTAAAATGCACCGCACATTCTCAATTGAGGACGGTCTCTTCTTCCACAGCTATGTCTCTGTAATGTGTGCAGAATGTGGTTTGGCATTATCATTTTGGAATATGCAGGACTTCCTTGGAAAAGACGTTGTCTTGAAGGCAGCATGTGTTGCTCACAGACGCCTCCGAGCCCAGAGAAATCGGCGGCATTTCTGGACATGGTTAACATAAAGCTTCCTTTTGGCACAGGTTTAACTGGTGTATGTGGATGTAACTGTCTACTGTAGTGCTTGATAAAGGTTGCCACAGTAATTCTGAGCCCATGAGGTTCTATGGCATCTAGATGAATAAGGTTCTTCATGCAGAGCCCTTTGAGGGATCAGAGAGCTCTGTTATTCAGCTCAGGCTCACACCCTTTACACACTGAAACTCCTCCTTGAATCTTTTAATGATGTTCTGTACTGTAGAGGCTGAAATATCCAAATCCCTTCCCGTCTTTCTTTACATTGTTTTTAAACTTTTCAATAACTTTCTCACACATTTGTTGGTGAACCGGCAATCCTCTGCCCATTTTTGCTCCTAAAGGACTCGACTTTTCCTGGATGCTGTTTTTGTATGAAATCGTGATTACAGTCGCCTGCTTCAAATCACATCATCTTTTTAATTTGCATTTCCCAAACCATCACAACTTCCTCTTAATTTGTGGCCGGAGTATATCATTGTATAATCAGCCATCAATCAGAGCCAGAAAAACTTCCAGTTTTGTTGTTTTTTTACTTTTTTCGCACAATTTAAAAACTCCAGTTACCATTTACACTGTTAAAAATTAATGATGAACAGGCAGAAATCATCAGAAATGACTCCTATTTAGAAATTACGTTTTTTTTCCCCCGGGAAAGTTAAGATACACGGTTATGGTGATACGCTAATGTGAAATTTTGTTTAAATGTTTAAGGATCAGATAATAATCTGATTTTGTAGTGTAGCACTTCAGAAGAACATCTAACATCAGAATTTTCTGGATTTCATATAATTTTCTTACTTTTATTCACTATCAAATTAAGTTTTCTATTGATTTAGTCAAAACCAGTGACCAAAAAACTAAATTAAATACAATTAAAAATTAAAAACAATTGATTGATTTTTTCAGTGTTATTTCTAAATGAAAGAACGTTTAACTTTCAGAAACAAACACTGAAAAGTTAATCAGAACACAAACTTCACAGGAGAAAAACAACAACAACAACAACAACAACAACAACAAACATCCTCAGCAGAAGTCAGTCGCTGAGCGGGCGTAAGTAAACACGCCCCTGTGCTGAGTGAATAACAGAGTCGCTGTGTCGGGTTTTTCTGGCGGCCACATTAGTCGACCTTCTGGTAATCGACCTGTTAATTCTTCAAAACAGGAAGTTACACACACACATACACACACACACCCACACACTGCTGACTCATTCCACACACACACACACACACACACACACACACAATCAAAACAGCACTCAGCTCAGAGTGTGAGCTCATTAACATCTTTAATATTCAATAAACAGCTGATTAAAGACTTCTACAAAATCACACATTATACAAACACACTCAGGACTGCAGTTAGACCACGCCCCCTCTGGTTAGCCCACGCCCTCTCCCGGGAAAAGCTGTGTTAGAGCAGATTAAAAGCTGCTTTTCGGACAGTTTTATCTGTGTTTATCGTTATGAGTGATGAAACACTGTAACAACATCATACATTACTGAGAGTTCTTTATATACATTCTTTATTCTTTACATGACCCAGTTCCCAAAAAAAGTTGGGACGCTGTTCAAAACATAAATAAAACAGAATGCAATGATGTGTAAATTAGTTAAGCTTTATATTTAATTGGAAATAGTACAAAGACAACGTATCAAATGTTAAAACTGAGAAATTTTATAAATTTTTGAAAAATGTGATGCCAGCAACATGTTTTCAAAAAGTTGGGACGGGGGCAACAAAAGACTGGTAAAGATCTGGTGGAACATCACACAGCTAATTAGGTTAATTGGCAACAGGTGAGTAACATGATTGGGTATAAAAAAGCATCTCAGGAGGCTGAGTCTTTCAGAAGTAAAGATGGGGAGGGGTTCACCACTCTGTGAAAGACTGCACGATCAAATAGTGCAACAATTCAAGAATGTTTCTCAACATAAAATAATAAAGAACTTTTTCTTTTCATCATCTATGGTACATAATAGCATTAAAAGATTCAGAGAATCTGGAGAAATCTCTGTATGTAAGGGACAAGGCCAAAAAAAGTATTTGCTGGCCGTGATCTTTTGGTCCTCAGATGGCACTGCATTAAAAACAGACATGATTCTGTAGAGGAAATCACTGCATAGGCTCAGGAACACTCCCTCAGTTTCTAAACACTTACAGAGTGTTGTTAAAAGAAGAGGTGATGAAACACAGTGGTAAACATGACCCTGTTCCAACTTTTTGAAACGTGTTGCTGGCATCAAATTCAAAATGGGCATATTTTTAAAAAAACAATAAAATTTCTCAGTTTCAACATTTGATTTGTTGTCTTTGTCCTATTTTCATCTAAATTAAACTGTTTTTATTTATATTTTGAACAGCTTGCCAACTTTTTTGGAAACAGAGTCGTAGACATTAGCAACATAGACATCTGCAGTAAATAAGGTATCCTATATAAAGTCAATTCATACATACACACATACATCATCTAAACCGCTTATCCTTCTGGGTCGCGGTGGG